ATTCAATTCTCGCTGTACTAATCGATAGGCGGTTCGCATTCGAGTTTCCGGGTAATTAATCGCCCGTCGAACTATACCTACGTCGAATCGGCGATTTCGGCGTTAACGGGCGGCGCAGCTGCGATCTTACGCGATATTGTTGTTTATGTGATCGCCGAGACTTGACGAGGATTGATTAACCAAGGGGTTAATTAATGAGAACTTTATTTGATCACGTGGAACAATGCCAGTTTCGACCTTAGATAAGTTATCTTCACCGCGGAACCGCACGCTCGTAATTGACGTCGGAATTTTGGGCGAGAATTTAGGGATTCGACAACAAATGGGCACGGAATTTTCCGAAAATAAGAAAACATATTTCTTAAACGGACAGACGTCGCGAATAACTATACGAATTCAGTTAGACGTGAGAATCCATACTTTCGCAACGTTCATCGCAAGTTCAAAAGCGCGAGACAAGAGAAGCACAGAAGCTGAACGCGCGAGCTAAAGGCAACTGCGAGGAAAAAAAATTCGTCGAAGAACCTATCGTTCGCGTATATGCAGGAAAAACGTTTCGCTCTAGAAGAATTCATAGCCTTGAATTACCCCCAGGAAATCAAATCGCGACGTAATACACCGCGTCCTTCCGAATAACGCGCAATGTTTGTTTCAAAATGTACGGAAGAGGTATCGCATGTCGTATCACGAGATAAAGATTGACGTGTGTCGCACGACTTACGTCGGGGACTCCGCGAGACTCGCTACATAAAGCGAAATAAATGGAAGAGGTGACATCAGCGAGAAGTAAGATCATATGCGGAACGATTTAATACTCGTTCCGCATACGACACTCTCTCGTAAAATAAAATACGTTACGGCCCTCGGCTGCGGGAGAATTCCGCGGGATAATATAAAAGCGCGCAGATATACATATATCGTCCGCAACGTCACGATAAATTCGTAGAATGTCGGAATCAGAGAGCGCGCAAAATCAGGGGAAACGCGTCGTATCGAGAAATTCGCGAAGAATTGAGCGGAACGTCGCGGTAGAATGAAAGATTAAGCGTAAAACGGAGCGTGCAGAAAACAAATTCATCTAAACGGGACAAATAACGTGTCGAGATGTCTACGAAATCTCAAATTAAATAAGTTACTTTAAATTGTTGACTCTTTTAACGTCGATTATTCTTTCGTGATCGATGATTTACTTGTAAGCTTAAAACTGTCGTAGCAAATTGAAGAATACAGTTGACTAAATTATTACTATTAAAAATGTGTCTAATTTTCATGTGTTTTATATTTTATATTTTTGTTATCATTATCAATAGATAACGCATGATCATATAAGGTGTATAGATCATTACTTGTGGATTTTGGCAAACTTTTTTTTAAAGCTTTTTCTGTAAGTTTTATTTATATACCAAGGACTGAGAAAATAATATTTTATATGTTATATATATATACCTATATATTTAAAACGTATTTGTATATTTATCTGCCCCTCTTTTATTTATACGCGGCAGAGTTTAAAAATTTCGTGACTCAATCGTACTCTTCTATTTTTGGAGAAAGAATCCCATAAGCCGCGCGCGGTACGTACATGGGATCTTATTTATATGCATGAGCGTGTTTTCGGGATAGAACGTATTGCGTATTTCGTAAACGCGGTATCCTTGAGGGTCGCGAAGAGCGACCCAAAGCCTCTGCGGTGACCGTGAGAAACAAACTTCGATATTTTTCGATGATCGTAGTGCATCACACGTGTGTTCCTCTTCAGTGGACAATTTTCATCTCGCGTGCCTTCATTCTCGTTCCGCCACCGCGACGACATATCGTGGTGACGACACCGCAGCTGCGAATCCCTACGAGACCGAGGGTGGAATAAAATCGAACGATCAAAGACACCCAGGGATCGGCTCGGACCTATCGATGGGTAAACAACACGCGCGACGGAAGTGTATACATCAAAGTATGTACAGAGAGGACGAAAGTATCGGCGTCCTCGATACCGTAAAGGCGTAATTGAGTTTTCTCTTCGAATCCTGCGATCTGACTCGCTCTCTCTTTCTCTCTCTCTCTTTTTGAGAGAATAAGTTGTTGTCGTTTCTACCCACTTTCGGAACGTCGTCGAAAAATCAAAAGAAAGAAAGGGAGGAATTGTATAGTGTTAAAAAAGTAATTGACAAGCCGAGTATCGAATTTCTCAAGCGAACCTTAGATTTCTCACCAAGCGGGGGTGAAAAGGAAAAGCGGATATATAAGGGAACGTGATCCTCAAGCGCGACCATAACTCGCGAGTTACTCCTGGCGGATATTGTCATTGAGCTATTATCGAGCAGCCTGGTCCCTATCGCGCAAATCGCCTCGAGTGCTTCCATCAGTCAGGATAATTGTGCCTCGTGGAGTCTCTTTGACGGCTAAAAAGGATTCGACACGACGACGCACTCTGGATCGGTATAAATATCCTGTTTTCGCCCTAAACGCCCCGAGATGTGTGTAACTCAATCACGACCTGTCGAATGAAACCGTTATATCGCTTGCGGTAGAATGGAAATCGTAGTCACTTTAGAAATTTAGGACGATTCAAGCACAATAGGGGAAGCTTGAGGACTTCAAGATGATAATCAAATTTATTTGTTCGAGATATATTTGTGTAATCGTTGAATTTTATCTTCTGCGTAATTAATGACGGACATTCTACTCCCGATTTAACAAATTATACTTCAGTAAGTCGTTGCGTATTTTTACGAAATCTTTATTTCCTACATAAGCGTCATGTCACTTTAACACATTATATTTATTTTAGTGTTTTCATCGACGGATCACGTCAGAACGACGTGTGCGATTTTTGGAAAGTTTTTACACTTGATAACTTGTTATTATTTATACGAATGTCTACATGTCTACAACAAAACTGCCTCGAAAACAATCGGCCATCATTGTGCGAATTATTTATAAAGGCGTACGTATGAGCAGGAGCGTTTTGCTATTTTCGGAGGAACCGTAAGTTATAAGAGTTTTCTGAAGAACCATCTGAAGGAAAGTGTCTCGTATTATTCTTATACGAAGTGGGTTCTCGAATAAATGCTTTTATAGGGAAAATTTTCTTCAAACTGTTCTCAAAATGGGTGGTTACCCTTACATCACACATCGAAAGTATTTCAAGACTGATTAATATTTATAATGTTAAAAAGTACAACGATTAATCTTCACTTCTGTTTTTCTTTTTGGAAAGATTTTAATATTAAAGAAAAATATCGAGGAAAATATACACTTTTGACATAATTTCGGAAATGAAACATATCTTTTGATCGATCACCTAAAAGTGAAGAATTTCTGTGAAGAACGATTATATACTATATATGTATTAAACATTGTGCAATTTACATGATTCGTCCGTAATTAACGTAATTATTTTTAATTGGTCTTACAAATGGTTATTACTTCTCTCTAACTTTAAATTGGGCAGTGACACGCTTAGCTTTTCGTTGTAAAATTAACGCCAGTTGCATTTTCTTCCCTATTTCCAGCGTCGTCTAAAGTTACATGTCGTTTGAGGACAACTTCGCTTAAAACCGTCGTATGCAAAATGACGAAAACTCGTTCTCCTCGTGGCCCAGTCGTTCAATTATACCTCACGCGTTCTGTCGCCAATAGCAGAGAGAGAGCGAGAGAGCGAGAGAGAGAGAGAGAGAGAGAGAGAGAGGGGGGAGAGAGAGAGAGCAGGCGAGAGGAATCCCTTCGAAGAGACACATCGCGGCAGTAAATTATTGCGACGAGTGAAGGGAAAAGGGGGAGCACAACAAGTAAATCGTGATAACGAACGACGAGGGTCCCTCGAGATACAGCAGGGGGGATTGATTCCACACATAAATCGATCTTTCGGTGACCCGCTTCGTCTATACACGAAGGTTTCTCCGGAATTTATCTCCCAGGAAGTCAGCCGTATACAGTGCGTTTACATCCCGCCACGCCACGAGTTCGTTAATGGCAGATCGGCCATCCTTCGCTGATGTGTCACCCTCCGCTTCGCTCGCTCACCCTTCTCTCACAAGACGCGTCTCGCGCATACCGGTGCATTTGATTGCGGCCACAAATTTGTTTTATTGTTGGCCGTTTGCGCACGCCCGCAATAACACGGATCGCATTATTCGCGCTCGCAATTCCGAGGCGTTCAGCTTGATCTCCAAGCGAGTAATTGGAAGATAATTGCAGGGAGAAAGCTAGATGGAACGGGGGATACTTGGGGCGAGATTGCTTGCAGTGATAGAAGCAGAATAATTTATATGAGTTCACTGTTCTGTCTAAGAAGTTTTGATGATCACATCGAATGATATAATTCTGAAGGAGAAAAGTGTTTTCCCCTTTTTTTTGAACGATACTAAGAAGTATTGTGTCAAAAACTGAACTTTATCTACTGCTAATTAGGCGAGTATTACAAGAACAGTATATATAGGTATGGTTTTTGAAGAAATAGGATAAATTTCTGACAAAATTGATTATTTAAAATCGCGATTTTCTGCTCCAAAAGAGAGTCTCTCATTTGTCAGAAGGGCAAATACATTCTCTAGTATATAGAGATATGATATAAAGATATATCTTAACTTCTCAACTCCCACGCTGATTTCCTAGACATAAGCTTCCCAAGTGGGACGAACGGTTTGCTTCGAGTAAATAAGTTTTATCTTCTTGAAAGTTGTACAATGTTGTTTTATGTATTTATTTGTCTCAAATATAAAAGCTTATACCTTAAAAATGAATTCGAAAAATCCACAAAAATTATCAAAATTTTCTGGCAAAATTATTCTTAAAAAAATCATTTACTTATGGGGTGGACGGCTCGCCCCGCTTGGGAGTAGAAAGGCTAATAATAATAAGGTTAATAATTTATTATTATTCTTCGATATAATGTGCAGACTAAAAATCGCACACGTAGTATACGTTTCTCATGTAGTCACCAGAATCAATTTTCAAGATGCCTTTTTTTAACACACAAACGTCACTTTTTATCGTTACAGGTGCGTTCGAGGTCGCTAACACAGCTGGACTCCCTGGGCGGCAGCATGCTGGACACGGGGGAGCATCATCTGGAGAGCGATACCTCGCAACAGCAACCCCATCAGCAGCCCCATCAGCTGCAACACCACCCCCTCGGCATCGAGTGCAACCGGATTCGATTTCTCGCACCGAGCGCGACACCCGCCGAGATCGCGAACTCTAATCGCAGGCACAAGCTCTCGCGATCTCAGGTGAGTTTTTATCGGCAAATATTTGGCAAATGCCTCTTCGGTCACACCGGGAATGATTCGCGACACGCTTATTTTCCGGCGGAATACTTGAGAGCACTTCCTGAACTTCCTCGCTTACTCCTCTCAATTTAAACTTCGCGAATATCTCGCTGCGGTTTTTATAATATATAATTTATAACGAAACATCCCTTACTATACATAATCTCTCCCCTGCGTTTTTGTATTTTTGTTACTAGCGTATCATTTTTAATTAAAGGGAAGAAACTTTAATTCAGTTAACGGTAAAAGTCTCAAATAAGACTTTTTTCCTCGGCCGAAAACTAAATGCATACCACAGTTTTACGAAACAGCCGAAGTTTCATTATTAAATAACTTGGCAATTAACTCTGATTGTAAGTTCCAATTATTCACGTGCCACGGGCCTGATGTAAACGAAATAGTGACACGTGTAAACGTCCGAGTGTGTTACATTCCGGTACAAAGTTGTTCAAATTGTTGAGTGAATTTTGGCGATAATGTTTGCCCGGAATGAGACATACGAAAGTGTATGCGAGGATAAAGCAAAGAGCGGCAACGAGGATTGTAATTAGGATTTGCCGTTAGTAAACATTGTTCGTTTTTCGAAAAACATTTTTCACTTTCAAATAGAAAAAGTTAAATAAATAAAATATAACAATTAAAAAATTTAAAAAACGTAATCATGAGCTACGTTTTCCTCTTTGCTAGAGTATAAACAATATTTTTTTTTAATTTTTCTATATTTTAATATCTAAGATTTAATATTATAATTGGAAGGAAAAGGAAGATGAAGCGAAGTAAGAGATAACTCTGAAAGTTACTGCGAAATTAAAAAGAGTCGATAAAAAGTGCTTAGAGTGTGAGTTTAAAATATTGCGCAAATTAATTAACGCCCGGTTGGCAGAACGAGATAAGGTGTTTTTTGTATTGCTCAAGAGTAGCGCCTTTCACAGAGTGGAAAAGAGATAAGAAAGTGACGAGTGAAGCGAAATGGCTAAAATTTTTACAGCGATGCGAGTGATTACACGACACCGCGGACGGAGGAAGCTTTGTTCTATTTTCAATGTAATTTCGTTGCGTTCGCGTGATTGTCACATGGATGCGGGATTATGCGGATTGACAAATTAATTTTATGGATATATACGGCGACGTTTACGCGCAGCGCTATGCTAGCGTACACAGCAAGAAAATGATAACAGGCCGGCTGGTATAATGAAATGTCAGAAACTGCCAGCAATGCCAGCGGAACAATTCCCTAGTACAATTAAAGTTAGTTTGATTATCTCCCTTTGTTAACGAATGGTATTTCGTAATTCCTATTGCAACGCGTGACATAATGTACTTATTAATCCTGGAATCTAATTGCAGAAAAGTCAAATATAACTCCATTCAGAAAGGAATGTTTACAAGATTTGCTATTTAGCATATAAAATGCAAACGCTACGAAGAATTTTTCTTTCACAGTGGATTTGCATTCGTACCTACAACAGTTATAAAAAATATTTCAAAGAAATGTCAAGCCTCTTTCATTTTATTTTGTTAAATTTCGATATTATATTTGTAGGACATTTTTATTTTTATCGCTTTATTTTACCATTTTCTTTACAGAAGTCGTCCTTTTCCAAAACATCTTGCATATTAAATTATCCGTGACATATTTTATTTATTATAAATAATATTGTGTAATGAAGCGTATAATTATTTAAAAGGGTTTACATTGCTAACGCTCTCATTTGCATCATCTGCCTGTTAATTTACAGAGATCGGCGATAAAAAAAATATGCTAATTGCCGTAATAGTTTCTCTCTCGAAAGAAATAAAATAATGTTGATTAAGGCGATAAAATGCTGCTGATCCGCGACATAGATATGACCTCTGTAACACCCTAAATTACAGTAAATTACAGTAAACGCTTTTCTACACCGTTCTTTTATCGTCGACCAGAAGGAGGAAATTAGTTCTGCCGTCACTCGACGGGGCGCAAAATAATTGCGCATATTTTATGTCGCCTATGATGGAAATAACGCTTTTGCATTACTTATGTTATCGGAATATGCAATTAAACGCATAAATATGGATGGTCCATTGAAAGGTCGTTAATTGCATATTACTGTCCCATTGTACACTCAATCCGAATTTCATTGCGAATTCAGCGACTGACATAGGATCTCCATTTGGGATATGGGGCTGCAGTTTGGACGATGTCCGAGATGCTTTACAGCGAGGCGTCGCGTCGCTCGGACCATCGGAGGTATCTCTCAATACTGCGAAGAATCGAGTTCTTCTCGATTGTATTCGCGAGTAAAATTGTACGTTAAAATGTGCAACGCGACCCGCTGCATATCGTGTAGCAGACAATCCACACATTTTGATATGTACAGGTGGATACAGTTTCGCTTGCGAGTGGATATCACATACGTTACGATTATCGTGTACATGAAATTTACCAGTGTTGAGTGGCGAAAGGATGAGAACACACGGCCGAAGCGGAAGTATTGCAGTTTATCACTTGCATAATTTTCGTGGCCACTCACCGTGCATTTTCCATTCAGTTATCGGCTTGAAATTCGTGCTCGAGCAACGGAAGATACCTACATCTCTGGCTGGTCCCGCAAACGGCGCAAAAGATACGGACGCAACGCTAATGTTTCTTTCAAACGTTCGCGATACAATGACGACGAGAGCTCGCTTTGGTCGTGTTTCGCTTTATCCATTTTATTCATTCGTCGCGCTGGGATAAAGCGGAGTAGGAAGAGAAAACTCTCTCGTTATATCGAACTTCTCGCGTTCGCGAGATCCCTTTATTTTCATACCGGAATGTGTGTATCTTCCTCCCCCTCTTTCACTCTTGAGTAAATGTGCCGTAAATATTTCGCGTTGCACACGAGATGATACGATGATACGATCTTCGCGCATATATGAATGTGGTTACGTATAACATTTTACGGATAAGCTTGAAACAATTTTTCTCGTAAAACAAACAAAAGTGTGAGCGATTTGTTAAACACGAGCGATTAAGGAAAAGAACGAAAGCGCCTTAAAACTTTCATGAAAGTAAAACGGCAACAGAATCTCTAGTACGCCAGACAATTTGAAATAACTTCGGGTAACTTTACTTTAACGGAAACTTAACGCACTTACAATTAGTCGCACCTAGCGCAAAGCTGCGCTAAACGATCAATCGCCGCGCCGTCGAGCACGCGCAGGCATTCAACGGGTCGTCCGTTGCGAAGGGGACGAGCTTCTTTGTGTGATCCCCTCGGCGAGCGAGTAGCCGCCGGAATACGAAATCTAGACATCCGGAGGAACTACTGCGCAGCGCTGCAGCGGCGAGAAAACAAGACGAAAACAGGACGAAACACGGAATCGCTATTAGCCGGATCCGGTTTCGTAAAACTACGAGTATTGTGTACAACGCCGGACGATGGTCGGAGAATATTCCACGCGTCCCCGTGTGGAATACTTGATGAAACACAACGTAACACACCGCAACTTATTACAGTTTCAACGCAATCGTAAAGAAACAAAATTAGTATACGTTAATTTTCGACGTTAATTTGGTTAGCGTACGTAATGAGCGAAGTAAAAGTTATTTATCAGAATACACGCTAAATGCATGAAGCAAAATTTAAAAACCGCGCGGACGCTAATCTATTCCTAAGACGTCGTCTTACCGGTCTTATAATCTGTTGTATGAAGTGCATTTTCAAAAAGGAGCTCATAGAGGATGCTCATTATATAGTAAATACGAACATCGATTAATTATATAAGTATCTGAAGCCCGACTGTGTGTTATTAACGAGGTTTAACATCACCGACGAGCTTTGCCGAGTGAATAACCCAATCAAAAATGTATAAAGGACACAAGGGAATTTAAGCTCAGTGTAAATCAAGCATTAATAATGATTTGCGAACACTACTGTATATTGGGCCATCGATATTTATGTGGTCGTTAATAACCATCGATATTTATGTGGACAATAATAACCAAACGCTGAACATAATCGATAGCTATATCTGTTACATTTTTTATCCACAATAATTTAGATAATGAAATTACAGTTTGGAGAATATGTGGAAATAATTGCATAATTCTCTCCGCCCTCTCTCTCTCTCTCTCTCTCTCTCTCTCTCTCTCTCTCTTGTTTCTCTCTCGTGCGATTTTAGATAATAAAATGGATTATATGTCGCTCAGATTTAATGAGGATACGTTGGAAATTACGACGGTAGTTTTAAACACGTAACGTACTTACATGTTTAAAATATTGTCGCACGGATAAATTTTCATAATTATCGTTTTTAATAAAAAAAAAATCTGTGTCGCCAATGTATATACAATGACTTACATTACTCGCGTACTCGTGTTTCTTATTTATTTAATAGAAATTTAGATTTATATGCAAATATATAAAAACTGTTTATAGGAATTATGCTGAAGAATTGTTTCGTTTCTTATTTACCATTACTGTCAACGTGGCTGCAATAATTTAGCAATTACAATGTAAATAATTCATAAGGAGAAGCACGTGCCGTAAATTATAGTGTAGTACAAAATAGTATAGCAGGTCGTTTATTCGTATACGAAAGCGTCAGAGCTGAACGAGCGTACTCCGCGTTGCAAAATTACCCGGATTTACCGCACTCTCGCCGTCAAGGTCGCATCTTAATGGGCATAAAAATCTCGACGAATCGCAAGAGAGTGCGAAATTACTGCAATTTTCTGCTACAAGTGGTCGGCAGAGGCCTCTGGAACGTAATGGCTCGCAAGGGGGATTTTTTTTAAACCTCCGTGGAGTAAAGTCGGTGGTTCTCGTGGCCCGTATCATCGTCGTTTTCGAGAAATGAGATCGAATTAATAGATTAGACTGCGGTTACAACGAAGTGAGCTTTTAACGATACGAACGAGTAGTAATTTGCAAAGTACAGCCCGAGCTTTACCGGTATCATCCCATGTGGTCCAATGTCCTCGTAAAGCTTTCTAGAGAATTAGAAGGTTTTCACATAAAAGTACTCGATTACGTCATTTTTTACACATCTCGTTTTGAATGTGAAATATCGGCTTGATAAAAGAGATCGATTTAAAATTATGATTTTACAATCATTTTAAAAGCAACAGTTGTTTCGCCATTGTATAAATTAATTTTTATATAATTTATTTTACCATGCATTTTTTTCGTAGTAAAAAATTTTATAGATTTATTCTTCAAATTTAACACTAAATGGCACTTTATCTTGCTTGTATAAAAACTATCGAATTTTATTTATAAACTGCAGTAACGGCGTAAGGTCCATTTCGGGAGAATACCAAACCGCAAACCGGCATGTGCACAGATCGATAGGAACGAAAGAGTAAACACTACATGAATGAGGTTTACATCTATACGTAATCTACTGAAATATAAGTGGCCGCGTAGGCGTTGATTTGGACTACTTGCAGCTACGCCTACACGTACCGCCTGTGACGTAAAAACATGAACGGCGATACTTGTGCGGGATTGCTACGATAGAACGAGCATGTAATCAGCCGGCTATCAAATATAAAATCGCAAAGAAAATGTGCACAGAAAATCTCGCCGTTGATATTCGCGATTCGAACGAATAGATAGATATGGAGCGTGTATCGACGAAATATTTTAAAAGCTCATTGTCTCTCTTTACACAGCGTTATATAATTTTATTACAAAATTTCGTGCGATTTAACAAAGTCGTGACTAAAGTTGAAACATATTGCTAGTTTTATTCAAGTCACGTAATAATATACGACAAAAATTGAGTTTGTCAAACTCGCGGCGCTCGGATAATTTTTTGCTTCCCGTCTTTTAACGTCTTTTATTTACGGTGAGAATAGATTAATAGTTTTCTCACGTATGAATTATTCGACAGAAGAAAAATTCGTTGGAAAAAAAGTTTCTTGAAAGCAAATTTGAGTTATTTACGAGCGCGGTGTTAAGAAAAGCACAATTAAAGTAATTATATATCGCAGAAAATATAAAAAGAAATATTTCCTAGTATAATTAAGAAAAAAATGTAAGAGAAAAATATAAGGTCGTCATCTCATAAGAAAGAGAAAATAATTTCCAATTTAATCATATGGTAGAAAAGGCATGATGATTAAAGAAAAAGCGATTGCTCGGAAAAAAAATTCACTTCCGAGTCAGTCAGATGTAGCCGACGCAAGTATTTTTTTTTATTTTATCATGTTATTTACACCGTATGTTTTCGAAGATAATATGGCAGAATTATTTTGCGCGTTCAAGTTTAATATCCCAAAATTCAAGATGTAATGAAAGAGCCATGAAAAGTCATTATGAAGGCAATCACCATAAAGAATGATAAACGGTAATGTTTATACAATCTCGCTCCCTTATAGAAAGCGACGGAGGAATTTTCATTAAGCATTCACACGCATGTTAGTATCATTGTCACGAACTTCCAAAGTATTTATCTTTCGGAAGGGCGGTGAATTACACATCCCCGAAGGGCAGTAACGGAGTCCCGCTTCTCTGATTATCCCTTACCGAAAGCCGAATTGATATTATGCAAACGTGGATCAGTAGTACTACGATTGCCTCCGGGACAGAGCCCTGCAGGGATCTAAAAATAATCAATTTCAATGACGACACACAGATACGAATCGAAAGTATGTTGACAACAGACGAGATTATCTTCTCTCCTAATTTCGTGTTTACCAAACGCGTGCCTCATCATATAAAATCTACAGGCAGAGAGAAATTTATGATATGCTAAAAAATTTTTGGAACAGAAGTCTATTTTACCAGCTTACAAGAATTAATCTTTATTGGTTTATTCTATGAAAAGTTTCCATTTTAAATATTTCTTATTAAAATCTTCGCCGCGGATCTTAATAAAGTAATCTAACACAAAGAGCGGAAAACGAATAAGTTATGAAAAGGTTTGTGAAAAGTTTATAAATGAAAACTTCACTTTTACAAAATGTGAAATATAATATATTGAAGCCTTTGTATTTAATAATAATACATAGCGAAATAATGTAGCAATAAAATGCTTGTTAAATCTTTATATATCTGCTTTGATTATAGTATTTGCTAAGCAGCTGTGATTATTTTGGCAATTACTGTGGCATTTGGTTAAATCTGTTAATCTATGTTAACATTGTACAGTTAGCAAATCAACTTTTCGATGCAACGCGTGGGTATTGTAGCATGTAGCGCGCATACTTTCTAAGCCTAAATGGAAAGGAAAGTTCGATAATACAAACAAAATTTCACGGAGGAACGGCATGTAAGCCCTCGAGCGTGATGTATACATGTACAGTCACTCTCTTTCTCTTGCGCAATTATACCATCAAAATTATATAGCCGAAGAAACACTTGTGTAGCTAACGTGCCTTATACCTCGTTATGCACCCCACGTTGCAAAGTTCGCGACGCGCGCGAGATGTGTTATGACTTACGACAATTGCAGTTATACAGGGCGACTTTGAGACCCTCGGGGTTTCCATTGCGAGAAACAGGAACAACAACGACCGCCCTTCGCAGGCATGATTTATGTACATGATCTTGCATGCAACCGGCGCATTCAAGTAGCGAAAAGTATGTTCTCTCCGCGCACAGAACAGTTGTCGTCTCGAATTTATTTCGAAGAGTTATTAAGAAATCTCTTTTTAATTCTCTCTTTTCTCTCTCGATAAGTATTCTGCTGAACGCGTGTCGTTTGTAGCAGCGAGGTAAATTAATTCGCGGCGATGACAAGCAACAATCTTTGCTTGCCGCGACGACGATTACGCCAATGCTGCGCTTTAATATTTAATTCCACGGGCTGACTCGCCGGCCTATCCAGGTGACTCGAATTTATGAGAGCGCCGCGTCCCTGCATTATTTATGAGGGAAAAAAATTGAGTCGAATGGGCGAACGTGGCGGCAATATTGAATCCGGGCGTCCAGGGTGCGGAGTAATCGAGGTAACGCGAGGGAAAAACTAGCCAGGCCAATTTTCTAAGTACTCGAGATGCGTAGTAAAGATTGTAAACGACACATGAATGACGCGTTGCGCATCGACTTGGAGTTATCTGCGTAAAAGATCGCCAGAACACGTACATACAAGTACAGAAATATTGCATGAACGTTCGTGTATTCATAAACTCTTCATATATTACTAGATTGCTAAATAGATATTACTAGATTGCTAGATAAACGTCTAATTTGTTTGAAGCTTTACTTATCGCGCGCTGAAATACGCGAACCTCGAGACTGTAATCGCTTATAATCATTATTATATTTTAAAATATTGTGGCTTTTTTCTCTCTTTAATGTCTCATTGCGAACTGAACATTAATTTAAACGAAACCTCTGGGACGAAACCTATGCGTTCAGCTTCGCTTTAAACCGCAATACGCAGCTTACTGGTTACATCCGATCTTAAAGTGATTACGGTAAAACTAAAAGCCGGCTCTTTGTGCAGCGAAATCGGCTGTAGTTTTCTTTAGAGTGTAATCCTGAAAGAGACGCTAATCAGCGGAATTAATTGTTAAGTTTCTTGTGGAATCTATCAGCGTCAGATATTTATTAATACATTTAAGCTGTCGCTTCTACGCAAAAATGTTTTATCTCGCAGATTTGGCGATATGTTTCATGTTCCTGCGCGGTGTACCCAATTATTGACTTGAATTAATTACATTAAAAATCCAATATATGTATATCACAAGTTTTTAACTCTGTGTTGATCTACATCATCTACAAAATTTCATCACGTATATTTTGTGCAAATTAAGATAACTTTCTTTTAGACATAATATAAAATAGAAGCAGATAGGGTAGAAGTCGTCGTACAAGAGCTCCCTGTGAAGTGAAAAAAGAGAACAGTCTGAGCTTATCATTTACTTATATTACTTTCTTGTTCAGAATTGTGCTCTGTTAAATCTCATTTGCGTTGACGATGAGTGAAACTTTCGCCAGATCAAGAGAGTTATCCTAAACCGAGATTTCAATTACGAGAATATTAAGATCAGCTTCAGCCCGAAAAGATAAGATTAATTGTGCTTACAGGCGTGCTTCATTCTGATTACAGGTATCCAGTAACGAATACTTCAGCGTCAGTTTCGAGGTGGGCGACGACGCCGCGACTTCGTTCGACCGGGAGGAGTTTCTGCCGGCGACGCGGGGAACTTACCTGGTGTGAGTAAAGCATTATCGTACTTCTAATACTTCGCGCGTCCGCGTCGTCACCGGGGACGATAAATTTTCGCGCGTGTCGCGTTGCGAATGGCAATGCGACGATATTTATAGACGCGCAATCGAAACGCAATACGCGCGGGACCGATCATCCACGTGGATAATCGCTGCGTTACGTCACGCGGCTTACGAAACCCTCGCATTCGGAGTGTCCCGCGTTGGCAGCCGAACATTGAGGAATGTATATTAACGGCGAATATCGCTGCGTCACTCACTTTGAAATGGCATACCACTATTTAAAATGTGACGTGGGCAATATATATATGTGTATATATATATTTGTATACACGTGCATATCTAGCTGGGGGGTTGTCGCATCAGCCAGTGATTTATAGCGATTTAATGCCGCCGGATATGTTCAATAAACATGAACGGGGCGCGAATGGACAGTCCTGTTCGAGCAATATGTGTCGCAGCTAGAAGGAGAAAATATCTGGGAATAAAGAAGAAAAACGACTCTGTGCATTTTCTTCATACGGAAATTAAAGCTCGGTGGTCATTATGTAATAGTATGTGGGAAGCGTGTTCGAAATAATAATCGATAGCAGCTGCTTTCAATTGAATGAACGTTATTTGTTTTTCAATGAAGAGCCAAAAGGTCAATATTGAAATTAATGTTGCGAAATTAATGTATACAATATATTACAAATGTGTGATTTTATGTTAGAATTAATATATATGTTCTATCAAAATTATCATTACTATTATTTCTATCATTTGTGTTTTTCAAAAATCTTGAACTGATTCTTTAACTTTTCCAATCTATGAAGTGACAAGTTACATTGATATCAATTAAGCTTAATGTGAAGACTTAAAGGGACATTATAAACTTTATTTATTTACAATGCCTTGACGTCATACAAAATTCGATACCGAATTAATATTGCATTTTATGTATAAAAAAAAGTATCAATTTCTAAAGACGGAACGCATGAAAGTTAAAAAAAAAAACGATATTTGCGAGTACAAGCACCACTTTATCTGGCTGGAAAGCTGGCAAAGCCTATAAAACGAAATAAAAAAAAATTACACCGGGTGGAAACCGGACTGTCAAACGTGATGACGATTCGACCTATAAGTACTTTGAACAAGCCACGTGCACCGCTTTCAATTTCATGGCGTTGCGTCATCGGTTTACTCCACTTGCATCGAACTGCGACTTTGTTTCGAATTTTTAGCTCAACCCTGACCGCGACATATATCCATCTTTTTTATTTGATATCTTGCTGCTCGATGAAATCTATCACTTGAGCTATCTCTGGATAAATAGAATTTGACACTCGAAACGAATATATACACACAAAACACATATACACATAAAAACGATGTATGAAATACATTTATTTAGAAAAATCACAGGTGAATTATTGCGACGAGAATAATACCCACCCGAAGTTGCGCTTTCAAAACGTGAGCACTCAAGAATGAAGCTTTTGTTTTGATACATGTTACTGTTAACATTGAAGAACGAAGGGTGCGCGGTGTAAAAAGAAAAGCTGAATAATTGGAGGGTTGTATAAAGCATGCATGAATAATTAATTTCTTATTTCTCTCCTCCGGATTCTGCCTACGGAATGTCGAGCTCTGTGTCACTGTCTGCAACGTTACGCCTCCTTCGAGGGAGGATCCTTTGTTTCATCTTACATTATTCCATTATTTCATTAGGCACTCCTCTTCCTGCTTTCGGAATAGACCGCCGAAAAACCCGAGTGATATCCAGGAAACGAGGGAGTAAATTTTAGATCGCTTTTTCTATCGAAAAAAGAGCGACCGGTAATATAAAATTACAACGTCGCGTCTTTTTCCTTCAGTTACTCACCGCGAGGTATAACTTTTCATTAACATTCACAGAATGTTTACGATATTTGACATCAGTTTACCATTATTGTCATATCAATCATCATCGTTAATAATTTCACTAGAATCTTCAAATAATTTGTTAAAAATAATTCGAGTGCAATAAATTTTAGCAATTAAATTCCCGCACTCGTAAACTCGTTGAAACCCATTAAGCTCTCCCAACTCGTGATGGTTTCCAACTCTATTTGGTTTGCCATCGCGCGTAAAAGAATAACTAACGTTAATTAAATTCAGTTACATCGATAACTTGCCGAAATTTGTTTTGATCTTTTCACATTGTTGATTATGCAATTTTTCTGCTTGTTTCGCGAGTCAACGTATTTACAGACTCTCGTAAAAGAGTAAAATTTTGGGCGATTTACCTCATCATAAAAGAGCACGTGGCAATAATTTCGCGTAATTTGGCGAAGTTCTCGTGTTCGCAGGGTGAATGGAAAACGAGGACGGCAAGTTTTATCTCTTGAGACGAGGGTGCGCGTAATAATTTCTGATTCCTCCACTTGGCAACAACTTAGCCGTCTTCTCTAGTTATCTAGCTCTGTCCGTGGAAAGCATCGACGTTGATGTACATGTACAATATTATGAACATAATCCTTTACTTCAACCAAACTGGTAGTCTTTATTTAAAAAGCAGATTAAAAAAAAATTGAAGAGTTACGTTCCAATTTTCTGAAAAAAAGACTTCTGCGCTCTTTATCAATTTTCAAAAGTCTTTCTATAAATATTCGCTTCTCGTAATAACCGTCTCGAATATTGAAGCCACTTGATCGCTGAACGCTAAATGACCACTCAAATGAGCGGAGCTTTTCAAAAGTTCGGAGCCGTTTCTGAAACAGCGGCGTGTTAAAATAAGTTCTCATTCATCTTCCGGGAAATGTTCAGTCAGGAAATTTTGCCCACTGATTCATTACTCACTCTCGAAAAATCGCGGAAAAGTTCGAGAAGTGCGCTTGCAAAACTATACGGGACAGATTATTGGGGAATCGCGCGTAATGCGCATACTTTCATAAAATAGTACCCTTTCATTGTCGGAGACAAATTTTTCTCAATCACATTAACAATATGTCTCCGCGTTCGTGAAGAAACTCCTCGCGGATAAACGATGGTGTCCATGTATCCGCATTGATTAAAACAAGCAGGGCCAGAGGTTGGATAAATCGTCAAGATAAATTGAACCTGCTCTCGAGTATGAGGCGAGGCATTTCCGGTGCGTGACGCGATTTATTTCCCCTGTCCAGCACGGCGGTTCTATTATAACGCACCACGACGAACGTGGCGACGAACTTTGCCTATTTATTTCCGCCCGCAAATCCACTCTCCCGCGTCGATACCGTGGTGATAAATTGGTACACCCTGTAGAGCGGACGAATGTAGGAAATAAGGGCTGACCTCCCGACGATCTCAAAAATAGAAGTACCTTCTACCTTCCCTTTCCCCCCTTCCTTCTTCTCTAATGGATCGTCGGATCGTCCCGGAGGGATCGATGAGAGAGATAGGAGGAGTCTCGTCTCCTTTTTCGCGAATGAATCTAAAAGGGGATTGGATGTAACGCGGTCGATCGGCATATCTCCGGTCGGCGTTAAACAACGTCGGTTTCATGACGGTACTCGATTTAATTTTAATAGAATGTTCCTCAACGATCGTCATTACGTCGTATATTCCAAGCATGTTTCTACAGTATACGAATTAATGGCAAAAAACACTGTTACATGCACGTGAAATCGGTGATTTCGGAGATTCGCGTTCCGAAAAAAATTCTCTCTCGCAGAGAAAACGTTACGTTGCAATGAGAATCGTATATCACTGCGTGGATGAAAATAACTTTCAACTTTACTGTGTAATTGACGAATAATGCGATCGTTTCACCAGATGCGGCGAGCCTGAAAACACATTCCCTTGAAAATTTTATGAAGAAATAGCGGAGAAGTAATGATTACGAACCATTATTGATCCGCGTAGGCGGGGAACAAGAATTTTTCGCATTGGGGGCGAATTTTAATCTCGCGACGACGATGGAGGATGAAAGATGTCGATGTCGAGTATTCTGAAACTGATCCGCCCGGGGATCGACCGCCGTGAGATAACGGAACAATGACGTCGTGAGCCGCGCGGACGCGGACGGCGCGCATTTTTCCCGTCCTCGCTGTATAACGGAAAGGAAGAAAAAAAAGAGAGAGAGCTTCCACGCGTTTCGTATCTTGCGAATACACCGTCGCTTGCAATGTTCTTGTACATTAAGTAATTAATTAATGTACTCAATGTACATAAATAATTAACGCGCGTATTCGATTACAGAATTGTAATAAATTCGGATTGAGAAACTCAGCAAATAAAAGAGACTTGACTGAGCGGAGAAGAGAATCACTTTCTGATTTGCGTGTTGCGTATTATTTCTTTTTACTCCGGGTGTTCATATTACTCATTGAAAGGATGCCAGAGTTCTTTGCAACCACGTGAATTGAATTCCTTTTTTCCCCTGGACTCTCGCGTTACCGTCTTCTCGCGGGAGACGGTAACGCGAGTTTAATTTTAATCCAAGCTGTAACCGGGAGATCATTACAAGCGACGCAAGAACGACTCGCGCGATCCGAGACAAGAAAAATCTTGCCGATGATGGAAAACGATACTTTTCATGCAAACCGCGTGTCGCGATCCCGGCCGCTCTGAAGAATGAAAATTTTTTCGCGGGGAGGACACACAGAGAGAGACGCGACAAAGGCGGAGCGCACGCGGGCTTTGTGCAATTCTCGGCTTGCCGCCTAACAATGCTTGGCAATTAAGAGTAATCCAGTTGAAAGCGTAAGGCGCTTCCGCGCGCGGCCACAGCGACGGATTACTCTAGTATTGTCTTCGCGTGATACCAGCGCGTTCATTCTTTGATACTACTTGTCACGCTGGACGAGTATGTTAGTCGAGAACATGGCAATCTCGGGCGAACTTGATTGAAGACACGAATAGCACGGCGATGATGTTTCGAGTTGTTTGCGAGTCTGGCAATTAACGAAAGTCAAGAGAATTCAAATGCTTTTTAAATACAGACTGCCAGTTTGGTTGAAGTAAAAAATTTTGTTCGATTTATTACTCACTGGCGAAGAAAAAGTATCTTATCTGTTACAATATTATGATTCGCGTGTCGCGTTAAACCAGGTTTGGTTTAATGCAAATTTGCTGTTTTTACGATTAGTTTTAGTCAGGACGAGTCCTCGGTATCTCTTCGGAATGTACATTACATTCAAAATGTTAAAATAGCTCGCGAAAAATGGACGTTTTACGGCAGTTTTTTTTTATCATGATAAGAGCAAATGCCTTCGTGAAATTGATGCTTAGCTTAATATTCGCGAAAGCATGGTATGAAACGTCATTGAGAGATACAATAAACGTGGAAGTCAGATCGAGTACCTATCCCGTTGAAACAGGCCAGCCAGGAACTCTTGATTATCGGAGCAGACGTGCAATACGAAAAGTTAAGAGTAACCGTTCGAATAAGTACTTCGAAACTAACAGAGTTATTTCAAGAAACTGGGGTAGAGATAGATACATCCAGAAACTATATGTAGGATATATTTAAAAAAGTTATCCATTAGTGCAACAAACAAAAGTAAAGAATAAAGTTTATTGAACGATATATTTTTGAGGCGAGAAAATGGTAAAAATATTATTTTTGCAGAGGAAAACAAATTTGACGTCTTGCAAAGTGACAGTAAAATCATAGTCTAGCGTAGGACATTCGCATGAACAATTAAAACTTAAAAATTAAAAAATGCCTATAAACAATAGGAAGTTCTGCTTGAAGAAGAAATGTAGCATCATTTTAGCATCGCATAAAGAAAGAAAAGATTAATTATAACTTTTCTGCGCGCCTAAGATATCTTCTTTGATTAACCAACTCAAATTTTTTCTTAATTTTCTCGTATAATTGTATGTCTTAACATTCTTTTTCATGCAAATTCTACCTAATATATATATAAACGAGTTAATCCCTCTCGTTAAAAATTAGAATGTGATATTTTGCAGCCAAATTTATTTTTGAAAGGCTATATTACATGTTTATTATACACCGTTTCATTCAAAGTTGAAATACTCTTAAAAAGTGCGAGATATTTGAAGCCTTTTTAAGAGAGATTCCTTTAATCATCGTAATCCGATTGAGAAGCGCCTGAAATTATCTGTACTTTTGTTCTCAAAAGTTTAGGGATTATGCGGACGGACAGATCGTAGTGAAAAGTTAAAATTCGCATTACTCGACGAGAATTAAAACTCGTATTTCTCGTCGAGAGCTTCGCAATATCGCGCGGTCGCCTTATAAATTATCCTACAATCGCTGCGGTAATCGCGGTGTCGGTTTAAACGGAGGACTAATTTTTCAAAAGGTGTTCCTGCAATTTTCTACTTTTAATTAATTCACCGATATAACGCAAGCGTTAATCTTTTTTATGTCACGTCTGTAATACGCAGATCGATTGCCGTATATAGTGACGAATGGCATTAAAGTTCGACGCTTCGTTATCGCGGGAATATCGCGAAGTATTTCCGCCGAATCGTCGACAAAAAATACAAAGATGCTTTTGCGTTTAACTCGCTGCATTATGTGTTACAGAGATGTGCTGAGTTTAGCCTGCGAGCGCCGCGGCGTCGATTTATCGCGCGTTGAAGTCTTGGACAGTTCCTCGACGCCGTTATCCCTGCTGACGACGGACGCCTCTACCCTCGGTGGAAAACATCTACGAGTAATCGGTGAGATTATACATTATTTTATATGCACCCGAATTTAAGCATTCGAGAATTTGATTATCAGACGGTGTATATTGATTCCTCGATTATTGCTTCCTTTTTTTTGCCATCAAATTTTCCGTCCGTTACTGACTAGACCTAGACAATAAATGTTGAAATTTGCGCTCTTAATTATTTCGCACTAATGCAAGGCTTTGCATTGATCGTACACCATGATATACGCGTTTTCGATAATAATAATCTGATCGCGACCGAGCTAGCCTTGCGACGGTAAAGAACGACCAGAAATTTATAGCGACGTTCTCGTATATCGGATAGCGCTAACGATTATTATCGCGTCCAGATTGTTTGACATTAATTTTCACACGTCCCGTCCCTTCGAAAGGTACCGTTCGATACTTGGTTTCGACTGCTGTAATTAATTTATTATTAATGGTGCGTCAGAACGCTCCGGCTCATTTGTGGCTAGCGAGTATCGAGCACAATCAATTATTCTACGCCGAACGAGATGGTCTGGCTAATTCCCGAGGTTGATTAATCTACAACCGCATAGACGCAGCCCGGATGAAGTTGAGTGACATAAATCGCGAGTGGATCATACGCGTCGAAGAAAAATCTGCGTTTTCAACAGAGAGAATATGGACAGCTGTCGTATAAATCGTCGAGATCCGTATCAAATAATGGAGTCTCTGATATTTATATTACAAAACGAATCCTATATTTAACTTTCTCGAAGATACGTCTCTTCGCTGATGATATTTTTAAAAAGTATTTAGCATCCCTCAGGACCCCGTTGAATTTTTTTTCATTGCGCTTTTATTTAATTCAATTCTTTTTAGAATTTTCAAAAAAAGCACTTTCTAAAATATTCTCTATGACATGTTAAATTTCCCCGTACACTTTTAAGTACTGGAAAATACAACGCTGCATTACTCGGTGAAATTTACTTAATTTACTATATAATCGGCTCAGGCACAAAGTTAATCGAAACGCGCGAAATAATTCATCACCTCTAAATTTGTTAAATCATCAGGGATCACGCACAGTTCCCTGGCTTCCCCTGATTAATTTAATTGTCTTCCGACGACTTGAGGCAACGAGAAGATATCCGGCGATGACAGGCGAGGGTTTCGAAGAATCGTTAATGAAGAACGGACGAGTAATTAAATTCACCTCCTTTCCAGTTTGGTCAGATAAAGAAAACTTGGGAGAAAGTGAAGTGGTACTGACCGATAAAATTCTTTTTTTTTTCCTTTCTTGACAGATAACTATACAGCTTGCAGGCAGGCGAGTCTCCCTCTTAAGCCAATATATTTCCCGAAATTGAGAAGCACTGTTGAAGTCGATAAGATTCGATGATGATGGAGGGATAACGCCAAAGGTCCTCGCGCGGGAAAGTAGAAAACCTTTGAGGTTTAAGGCCAGACTGGCTGTCTGGCATCGCGCCAAAGATTATCCCCGCCGTCGCTCCCGAGACTTCATAACCGAGCTGAGCGAAATCGCGAACACATATAACCACACATATATGTGTATGTGTACACACCAACGTGTCATCGGTTCCCGCGAAACCCTTCTGATCCGCGCCACCTTTTACACAACCTTCCCATATTTCCCGTCAGTCATCAATCTCTCGCAAAACACTACCTCTTTCCCTATCAGACAAGATGGCTACTTGATGCTTGATATATTCTTCTCTCTATCTTCCCCGCTCTACCATTGTACTCCTCTTTTAGTATTGTACTACAGCTAAGCCAATGGAATTTTCATTATCGTTTCATAACCTTTGACGCGCGCGGGTTATATATTTTTGATTAAAGTACGATGGTCCATTTAGCTTCAACTACGTATGCTCGCTTCTCAATTTCCAGGCAACATACCGCTCATTATTTTTAGTGAAAGAAATTATATTTCGCTTGTCTGCGTGATGAAACTGCCACCGATGAAAATGTCGTAAAAAATGAACAAATCAGAGAACGAATCGCTTGCTATTTCCTAATTAATTTTCTTTCCAATAATTACTTTTTTTATATTTGCATAAAAATCCGATTTATTGTTAGATTTGCCATCATAAATGAATGTACTATGAAAGTATTTTATGATAAATTATCTTATTTCAAAAAAAGATTTAAAAAAAGAGCAATTATGGAAGCGAAAAGCGTTTTAATGCCGCGTTATTTACCTCAACGTGGGGGTGGCCAAAAAAAAAATTTATCTTCTCTTTCCCCCATCTCTCTTACATTATACTTCGATAGTCGAGAAGGGTACTCGATATATCGCAGGTAATGCAGATATATCGTCGATGATGTTCTTGAATCTTTTATACAATGTGCTCCAATAATTTTACCCTAAAATATTCATTCTATTACTTTAGCGAAGTAGAACGCGTTTTTAGCATCTGTACGAAAAAAATGAATAACACATGCGCGCTGATGAAAACCCTAAAATAATTTTGCATTACATACGCCGTTTTAAAATAAAAGATCAAAGTAAAGTGGCAATAATATTTTATAAATACGGTATGTTGACCATAAACTTTTTTCATATTTAACAAGACATAGCTATATAACTCTCACGCACGCAACAACAGGATAAAATTTTACGTGACAGCACACAAAAAGCAAACCAAAACGCGTTAAATGCGCGGTGCCACATACAGGTACGTATACATCTTGTTACATATACGATATTATCATGTGACAATATCTGTAGGTCGATCTAACACTAGCAAATCTAGGTCAGCAGATATCTTTGATCTGCAATGTCACTGACGCTCAGAAAAACGTCCGAGCGATGCGACAAAGAACAAAGAAAAGAAATCGATCAGAAAAGGGTTATCCAGAATATTTTACTTTTATCCTCGTATCCAGAGTTTGCAGAAAATGTCAGATTTTTGAAAAGATTTGCTCGATTCTATTGAATTTATTACAATAATAAGTAGCTCGTAATAATAGTAACGAAGTTATCTAGATTTTACTGTAACAGTTTTATATCGAATTAAATATAACTCAATGCAAGAGAGAGCGTTTCTTTTCATAAAATCGCTAAACTTCTACTCCGAAATTATAATGAGAAACAACGAGTAACTTTTTCGCAAAGACAGCGCAGAGCAACGTTTGATTTTATAAGAGGCTCTTCTTTAGTAGGTGAAGTGGTAGCGTAACAAGCACGGGGCTGTACACGGGATTTCCTCGCAGATTTTTACTTACGAAGCAGCCTTTCACGTCTCTCGATCTCTTGAATCTGTTTACACAAATCATCCGCACTAACATAAATGTCGTTTATATTTCATTTAAAACATTTCTTTTCACATTGTACAAAAACTGTAAAAACTGGCATAATATGTTGGGCAGATAAACACGTCTTGTGTGTGGACCAGCAATAATTTTTACTTGATAATAATAAACTCTGTTAATCTAATATGGGAATCGCGAGTATTAAAATTTTAGAATTAGCTTCTTTTACTGAAGATACTATTTAACAATATCCACGGCATAATGGATATCTAAAGATACAGAAGAAATGTCTCACATCTGGATAAGAATTATTAATTATCTCTAATCGACTTCCATTTATAGACGATACGATCGCGTGCAAATATCCACGCGACTACAATAGCGCGAGTCATCGAATGCAGCTGTTACATCAGACGAAAGGTCGCAGTGCAAACAGCAACGATAATCGATTAGCAGGGAAGTTATATCGCGCGTCAACGTCTATCCAGCCGCGTCTGATAAAAAAAAATACATAGGAAAATGGAGGGGAAAAAAAGCAATCGAGCAACCGAGCCGAAGCGTAGATTAGAGACCGCGCCAGCTGTTTAATCGGAGCGATCAATTGACTAAGGCGTCCATTCAGGCATGATTGATTGATAAATTCAGACGGAAGCAGGTAGACGGAGCGGCGGAGCGAGATAACGCATCGTTCCACGGTGTATTACGGCAGAATTTCCGAAATCTGGGACGACGAGAGGAGAGGGAATCTCGCGCGCCAAGCGGCAATATAAGCGCCTGCCTGGAACCACGCGTGGTCCGGTAGTTAAATAAATATTTTTAATATTCCAAATATTTCTCTAGCAATTTGGCAACCAACTATCCGCCTGAGGTATTCATCGATATTAGGAACGTGCGGGAAATCTATACCGCGAAATCGCCCGGCATTCCGCTGGCATGGATATTTTACGACATGGACGATTTGTTTCGCGCATTTACGACAGAACGTCCCAATTTGGGGTAGCCCGTCGACGAATAATGCATTCGTCGGTCGACGAGAATTGCGAGAACGACTGTAATGCACGGCCGCGGGTCCACTCGTTGCGTTGGGCATTACAAAATTAATTATCGTAATTTACCTGAGATGTATTCTGCAATATATATAGCCCATACATAGTATACCGAAATGGCTATTGCTTAGCGCCACGAATGGAATTTAATGAAAATGTAATTTTGTTAACGCAACAAATGTTCGCTTGATATATGTCTACTCAATATGAATGGAGATATTGATGTATTGTTATAATATAATATAACATAAATATATATAGATATTGACAAAGACAATAATATATAACAATATATATAATGCGATATATACAGATAAAACTACATAGCATAAAATGCATTTCTTCGAAGGAATTTAAGTCCGAAAATAATAAGACGCTTTTTTGTACTCCGAGTAGAGTAGCGAAAGGAAAGAGATCTTTCCTTTTATCACGAGAAAGCAGATTGTCCTTGGACGTGGAAAATAAATCCTATCTAAGTCTCAGATCCGCAAGGCAATTATCAACTCCTTTCATCGAATAAAAGCATTCGATTGGATCCGAGTTGTGTGATTGCGCGGAGAGCATTTCTGCGTAGGTAGCGTCAAATGTTTCTTTTTCGTCGAATGTTTTGTTCGGTTTTGTCGATCAGCTTGTGAGGAGTAGAAAAGAGAAGGGTATAGAGAAGAATATAAGGATATATTATAAATTATAGCGATTGCAATTTACGTCAGAGAAAAAAAATTCGCGCGGTATATATAGAGCGTGATGGATGAGAAATTCAAGATAATGTAAGCTTCAATCTTACATAAGAAGTTTTATCTCATGCATTTAATTTAAAAGAAATTAGATACTGATGCTCTTTTACTTCTCATGTCTTCATTTCATATCTTTTACTACGAAAAGATGAAACAATTCCAAGCAAATTCTTAATTGCATATCACTGCGAGTCTGATTGAAGATCTCATGTCGCATTATCGTAAACAATTGAACTGTATTCGATAAAACGTTGGCCGTTACAATTACCCCTGTTACAGCTTAATTAATTGCCATCTTTGTTAATTGTGTTTGGTTCTTTCGTAACAGAGTTAACTTATCTCTTAACCCCCTTCGTGTACTATCGCGTGTTAGATGCATCTGCTCCGCAAAAAGAAGAATAAAAAGGGAAAAGGAGGAAAAGATGCGCCCACGTTTCTCTGGGAATTTAAACACATTTATATCCGTTCGAACATACAATGTAAATAAAGCGAGCGTAGAGCCGCCTCAGCCGCCTGCTTTATGTCGGCTTCATGCTTCTACCCTCATCTCTCCGTGTCTCTAGAATATTTGAAGTGCAACACAACTGTGTATACAACAATGCATCTTAACGCAATAATTTATCGAGGCGATAAATTTCGTCGTTGTATTTTTCGAGTGAAACAGGATTTTTACAGAAAAGGAGGGAAAGGCGGGAGAGAGAGAGGGGGGCAGCAAAATGTGCTCGCGGGTGAGCTGCATAATCCTATTGAAGCAAAAAGGGTGGGATGGCAATAGAAGGGCTAAACGCGACTCGACGCTCTCACGGAAAATTTTCTCAGTTACTTAACGCCGCTATTTCGTTTCCCTCGTGATTTCCCCGGTGAATTTGACCCTGAGAGAGGCGCGCGCGCTCAGACCGAGGGAGGTCGCAGATTCCGCCGAGTGATTTCGAGAGAGCGTGCGCCCGATGAAAGCCTCCTGCATGGAATGGATACGAATAACGTGTACAATACCTCGCGCTGAAATGGCATCGTACTTGTTACGACGATTGAATACCGCACGGGGGTTTAAAACCGCTGGTATTCATATTCCAATAAGCATCTCAAAGATTTAACGTTGCAACTAAAGTAATCTCAAAAGTATAAACAATTTGTATGCGCATAGCATGTTATTATAAAATATTATTTAATTACTAAAGATATTGTTAATTATTATTAAATTATTAAAATACTATATTAAATTACTGCATTATTATTATATTACATCACATTCTTATGCAGGATTAAGAATTACAGGACTTTTAGGGCATGTTATTAAAATAGCGCTTAAAATAAAAAGACAAGAAAGTCTTAATAAACATATATTTTCTAAAACTAACGTTTATTGACAGTGACGGTTGAGATACGAGATTCATTGAGCCCGCCATGAGTGTGCTGTATAAACCCATTAACGTAGATTAATTCTAAAGGCATGCTTTCTTAGGTAAACTAACGCTATTGGAAATGTATGTAGCGGAAAGTCTATCAGCACTTTGACGTCAGATACGGAGCTGAACAATTTCGGAAACTCCTATTCTATTTATTAAACAATGCTTCATATGTTTGCTACGAGCAAGTGCTTCATATTTAATCGATATATGTAGACCTTTGCCATATATACGTGAGTCGTTGAAATGGAAGGAAATCACATGGAACGTTTGCATGTATAGAGATAACATGCAAAACTATTCAAATCTTAATAAGTATTGATTTTAAGTATGTTGATTAAGACTTCCTTGTTCTTTTCTCGTCGACGTGCTGCAAGAGTTTGCAACTCTTTTCCTGGGACATGTATAATGATGATTTCTTTAACCTTTCGACTCCCAACGGGGCGAGCCGTTCGCCTTATAAATAATTTTTTAGAATAATTTTGCCAGAAAATTTTCGCCGAAATCAATTTTGAACCGAAATATGTACGCAAGTGAATATAAATGCAAGCAGGCGTAATTCCAGCGCGACGAAGGTATACGCAACGACCGTGTCGGAAAAATGTTCAATTTCCTCGACGTCGGGCTCGGGCAGAACGTAATCAGGATACGCTCACCCGCGATCGACAGATCGCCAATAATATTCTTTACAGCTGAAAGTCGTCGGGTTTCTTTTGTAAGCGAGCGCCAGGACGATCGAGGCGATGGAGAAGAGTATATGTACGATATTATTCAAAAGCGAGAAGCAAGCCACACGTCGTCATGTGCCGCAAAATTAATGAGCCAGAACGAGAAAAGGAGATACGTTTTCTCGGAGGAAAAAAATTTACGCACGAATGTAACAGCTGCTTCGTGTGAAATTGTCACGTCAGGCACGGCACGGCGAGTCGCTGCTGTATTATTTATCGCTATCATTTTTTTAACGTGTTTAAAAAACTTTAAGGGAGGGTGCGACAAATTCACGCAAATATTGTATTCAGAATATAGACAATATAGACATACATTTATCAAAGCAATTTCTCGTTGTTTACACGTTGTTGTAACACGTTTAATAAGATCTTTATAGGTGGACAGATATTCTTCGGCCGCTCCATAATCGGCAGTAGTAACTGACAGTAGTCAATTACTAGCCGTTACTATTTATTACTTCACCTGGATATAAAGTTCACTCCAGAAGATCTATAATTTCCGTCAGATCTCAGAATAGAATTTCATTTATAATTTTATATATTGTGTGTTTTGTACGTGTACCTATATTTTAACTATAATGTATATTTACGTTTCTTGATTCCTTCAATTCTTCAATTATAAACAGAATTCTGTCCTGAATACGAGTTATAGAGAATCTTTAAATTATAAATAAATATTATAATTAAAAATAAAATAAAAATTCATAAATAAATTATATGTATGTGAAGCGGCTTGAATAATATTTTAAAATAGAACCGCACGGGCGCAATACTCCGTTTATCATAATCAATATCGTAAAAAGACAGCGATGAAGCAGAAACATATAACAAAATATGACGTTATTTGTAAGAAGTTTATTAGTCCAACTCCGGAAAGAATTACCGAAACGTGGCAATCCCAAATCAGAAATACGAGGATTTATCACGTCTCTCTATAGTCAGGAAATGAAGCTACGAAGAAGACTTCCGTCTGCGTGCGAACGGACGTAATTCACGTAATTCACGTAATACACGGAATTACGGTAATATACACGAAAATAGGTAACAATTTTACCGCGTTTTTTAAATTTTATTTTATTATTATTAAATCGTCCAGGTCGAGTGAGGAGTTTTCGCGACGCGACAAAATTAAACCGGAACCAACTACGAGAAGTTTCGCGTGTCCGAGAAACTGCAACAGCCGGTCGCCGTCGAGACCCAGATGTCGAAGTGTCGAGCGTCCTGGAGCAATATAGGGACGATGCACAACTCCGGGTGATTAAAATTCGAAACTAACTAAATCCGTAACAAGACGATTGCAAACGTTACATGTAACCGACCGCAATTAAAGCGCTATACATGTATATTACAAAACGGATGCGTACGTGCGAGTTATATTCTAAAATTGGTTTCCATAATTATAAAATTTCCAGCTTAAGCGTATGATTTCATTTATAATAATATACTCGGATGAAAATAAACACGTGCAGAGTCAGGAAATGATTCTACGTGGTAAAATAACGGGGATTTAGAGTTTTCATACAGAGAAATAAGCTTCAGAAATGAGTTTCCTAGATGATTTGTCTATTTTTAAACAATTGCACGTACTCTATCCTTTACATTTTTATTTTCACGAAGTGATGATGAGATTTTAATATGGACAATGGACGTGTGTAAAGTGATCCAGTTATCCCTGGATAATGGTGGAGTTAATGCTGACAGCGACCCTTGTAATGCGTTTGATCCTTTGATCCCTTTGCGCGTGGAAAAGGCAAAGTTCTGACGCGAACGTGAGCCGCGGACTATCGCCGTGGAAACGCTCTCAAAATGCAAAATTGAGCCGCCCCCGGCACGTACGATTTAAACGGTTCCTATGAGTTTCTCACGCATTATAGAAATATTATGCGCGACGATAACAAAGCGGACAAAGCCGTTCGATCCATGAACGACACGCGGTTCAACGCAGAACGTTCCGTTTCTTCTATATTTAAACGCCTTGCGGGCGTTTAAATATAGAGCGAATTCATTCAATCTATGCTGGAAATAACATTTGCAGTGTCAACAAAAGAGATTGGCGCTCTCTCGCATATATTTTACAATCGTGACATATTCGCAGAATAATCTCGCTAAATTAAAGTTTCTCTTTTAATCGTGAAATTATTATAAAACACACTACTGCGTTATAAATTTTAAGTATCAATTTACGACCAGAAATTATTATTAAAAATGACTTTACTAGAAACTATTAGGAAGTAATTATGACAGGATGCTTGTCCGATTGAAAATACTAGGTACGTAGGTATAGAGATTCGTAATAACCGCAAATCCACTTTCTCGTTTCAGTTAAGGACGAAAGATTGAATTCTCGAACACCCAGCCAAAGAGGAAATCAGAATGTGCTGTTACGGAAAGCCAGTGGGGTAAGCAGCTCACTTCCGCCCAAGTAATACTCCAAATTGAATTTTACGACAACAAAATTAAATTAAATATAGAACGACCTTAGAAATATAATTTTTTATTAACTCGATTTCGTCGCGATGGAAGTTCTCAAGATTAAAGAAAAATTTAAGTCGCGGGGCGTCGCCATGAGGATATTGCGATGTCGCATTAGCGCGTAAAGATAATGTTACGTGGCGAGACGCTTCGCAAAAGGTATCGACGCCTGTATCAGCCTCGACGTATCATCATTCAAGTGCGAAACACCTTTGTATCCCGCCGAGCGACGCTTTCTTTCGGCGGCTCTCTCGCGAGATGAAGCGAGCGTTTTAGCATTTCGCGAACAATAATGCTCGTAGCCCTTTTGCGAGCCCTGACCTGCTGGCAGGGGGTAACAATACAGCCGGGCTGACAAAGACAAATCGCAAAATGATTCGCCGGGCGTAAACAAAGCCACGTCGAGCGAGGCGTGATGGCGCATCATCGGTTTAACGTTGTCGATACCGTGAACGAGACTTTTCCGCGGAAAATTTCCCGGAGAGATGAAAATTTTTACAAAAATATATCAAACTTCAAGAATAAAAATGCAATTATAACTTAAATGTAATTATATTTATATCATTCATATTCCGATTTAAAAGAAGTGCTCCACTTGAATACATATATATAGCATATATGATCCATAATATAAATTTCTAATAGATACTATATACAATGCTGATTTTTCGATTAAATTTTTCTATATAGCATACGCGATATTGTCCCAGCATTACTGTTCCGGCTGCTGTCCAATTCCTAGCATCGCAGTTACCATTGTCTTCGCCGAACGCCTCGCTATTGTCCGAGCGACAATTACGCGAGCATTCCAGCTTGATTCCGCGCAGCTACAATGTGACACAGCTACGCCTCATCCATGCCGGATGCTGCCGGATTAATTCGCTCGGTCAGCAACGTAATCTGTCGCGTGCTCGCACCGGTTCCAGGCACAAGTAAAGCCGACAAATTTCAATCCCGACAAGGGACTAAAAACAGTAAAAACTACGAGGCCGACTACGGGCGTCAGTAGAACAAATGCGCGTTTGATCCGGCACACTTCCGATCGTCCATTTCTCGACGCATTTTCCGTCACGTACGATTAAATTTAGATTTTGTCGTAATTTCGATTCCCTTAAAATTAAATCACGAAACCGCGTGTACGTGTGTGTTATGTATGTGTGCATGTGAGATTAAATTTAATTAAACTTTAATTAAATTAAATTCTATAGAATCTCTTTAGAATAATGAGAAAAAAGAGCGGTTCTCTGGTAAACACTTTGCGCGTTTCGTTAATTTTATTTAATGTTGGTTCGCGTTCACAAAAATTTTAGTCTCTCGCGCAGCTTGTGCAGCCGACGTCGATCGGTTACAGATTGTATTTTCGGTGTGACGAACAGCGTACACATTAAAGACACGGTAGACTGCAATAAAGATCGTTATCGCCGTTATTACGGTGCACCCCCGTAGATGAAATCTGCCCACGTTTCACATCACGTGAAACGAGCAGGCGAAATGTCGATTACGCTACATTAACGCGTATACATCGTATCGCATTTATATACGCCGTAAAAAAAAAACTTTTATCGCCATGCAGTGAATTTAATAGCTCACAATGGCATCTTCCTTTACATTACATTGTAATAAGAAGTCGTTTGCATTGCTCGTTCAACATTTAGAAGTAAAAAAAAGCAATGTAAAAGTACCAGTTGTTTTATGATTTTATACTCTTTATATTAAAAATGTCTAGTTTCTAAACTAGATGAACATTCTAAGCTATATGATCTATAATAAGTTGAATAATTATTCTGTTAATAGTACAAATTTTCGCAGAAAGGAAGAAGCCTTTCGCGAGGAAGAAAAGAGAATTAAGTGAATAAGACGCTAAGCATAAAATTGATTGGCGCGTCGCGTCGAGAAGTAACGCGTGAGGCAGAACATTTCGCATTTCCTCGCGTGTAACGCGCGTAATGCATGCAAGCGTAACGAGAGCGATTTGTCGCGACGTTGGCGGTGACGGTGCACGGCGAAAGGATAACGTTAATAAAATGCTGAGAAGGGTTCTCTTAACGGGTCGCGCCCGGTGTTGGGCACCGATACATTATTCATGGCGGGTACCAACACATCGCACACTCGATAGCGGATTACACAGCGCGATAACTCAACGAGCAATTTCTAGAATGTTGCCTTCGCTCTGAGGAGCCTTCCAGCTTGATGTACGACCGCGGCATAATCACTTGACGACGAAGCGAACGAGTTTCCGTTGGAAGTCTTAATTGTCTTGATAATTTCATGGACAGGACGCTTTACCCCGAAGCGTCCTGTTCAGCAAAAATGTTAACAATATTCGGTATATTAGTGTATCGGATATGAGAACATAAACTAAAAAAGAATGAATTTTCTTTGATGCGCTTTTTTGGTACACCGCATCAGACCTGTCAATCTTAAACTCCAGTTAAAGATGAGCTTTTTATTCTCCGATAGAATTATCGGAATCGAAGCGGTCGTTTCTTCAGCGTTTCCACCGAAGACACGAATGTCGATTCCGAGGTTGGTACCTGCACAACGATCTCTTCCGGTCGGAGTTCCGGTGGAGCTACAGGACTCAAGGCCAGTAAACAGCGATGGAGCGGGTTCTTCACCAATACCAAGGGTATCAAGATGGACCTGTTAACCGCCCAACTGGACGAGTACAACAAGCATGGCGTGCCGAAATTGGCGAACGTTCATTTGCAGTGCGATGTGACGATCAACGAAGAAGGTACGACTCCTATAGTTCTGTCCTTCGATTTCCCTTTTTTCTTCTGCCATCGAGTGATTTACCTCTAGAACGAGAGACTCGAAATCCTGAAGATTCCCGGTGATCCGAGATAAAATTAACGCAGACGCACGCTTTTCCTTAGAAAAACACCTTTATCTCGCAGAAGAACGTTTAAATTCTCCTTTTCCGCTCCAGCTCGTTACATGCAAACGAAATCGATGAAACTTGAAGATCTCTTTAATAACTGCTCTTAAAGCAGTCACGTTACTTCTTGCGTCTTGCTCCTCCCGTTTCTCGGAGAGAAACGTTCTGCAGTGTCAAAACGATTATTTGAGTTAGGGCAAGATTAATTCTGAGGTATACAGCAACCGATAATTTTATACTTTAAATTACTAATATATATTATAATGTCACAACTTTACAGCACCGAAAATTGATGGCGACGCGTTCTTATCTCAAACAAAATATCTCGGTACGTGATTTTCCGTAGAAAAGTGTGATTTAAAGCTTTTTTCGTTTTTTTCTACTGTCTTCAAGAAAACCCCTCTTCACGTTATCTCTAAAGAGTAAAATACGTAGTTTGCTGCAATCACAGGCACTGTTGTAACGTAAATGTTATCTTGACACCCTTTCAGCTCTCTACAATTTAGAGGGTGACTGGCACGACATTGTCGAGAATTCACAGATGCTCTCGGAGAAACAATCGCAGCAGCAAACCGCACTCTGGGAATTGGCTAAGACCGAGGTGGCCTACATTAAGACATTAAAGGTTGTGACAGATGTAAGTAAAGTGTAAGCAAGTGACGTACTTGCTACGTTTTTCGCGGAAACCAGTCTTGTCAGGCTGTTTAATATGAGCGAAATAATCAAGCTGATAAAACTGCTCGATCAAATATCTTGAAACTATATGAATGAAAGCTCGCGGGGATGAAGTATCGTTGGGAGATTAGAATTTTCGATCTTTTTTTTTCTGAAAGTGATGATCGTCGTCTCTGATATCGCAGCTCTTCATGGCATGTCTCTGCAGCCTGCAGGCCTCGAACATCCTGATCGAGGTCGACAGGCTGAAGCTCTTCAGCAATATACCCGATATCTACGCCGCCAATCGCTACTTCTGGACTGAGTATCTACTCGCGATGGTGAACGCGGCGAGATCGAGCGGGCAGCCGCTCGATCCCGGTCATCTTCTGCTCGGCTTCGAAACTTTCGAAGAGATATTCGCGCCTTACACGAGATACTGCGCCGAGCAGAGCAAGTGTCAGCAGTATTGCAAGGATCGACTGAACGATAATCAGCTTTTCACGGCGTATCTGGTGGTATGTACACGCTGTTAATCGCTTTTGCTTGCTGCCGTTGGCTTGATTTCGCGGAGTCAGCTATTGATCTCGTCACTGATCTCGATTAATTCATCCCGGGAGTTAGCTATCGTGCAGTTAGCGAATTTAACCATCAGAAAAGTAACTAGACGTCTTAAAAAAATTTTATTTTATTTCTCACCTAAAGCGATAAGAAATAAACAATTTTTTGCGGATTTGTTTAAATAAAAAGATATCTATCTGTAGCTGAAATTCTTCAAAGTTTTACTGATTGTGAGAAGATGCTAGCTTATTAATATTTTTAATAAGATTATTTTTATAAGAAACATAAAAAAAATTAATTAGGAAAAATGATAAAATGCAAAGTATATTAGGGACGAAGAGTAGCGATATCTCGATCATTATTACAGTGGTGCGAAACGCAAAAGGACTGCAACCGATTGAAGCTTATGGACATACTAGTGATGCCGATGCAGAGGCTTACCAGGTATTCGCTCCTGCTCAAAGCCGTCTACAAGAACACCGAGAACGAAGATCAACGCGCGGAATTGATACACATGGTAAAATTTACACTTTACTTTTCCCTAATTTTTGCGTAAATACACGAAGAGAAAATGCGAAGCGAGAGGGTGGCGCATTTGTCATGAGCCCAGCTTTCCTGTAGGTGAAGGCTAAAGTACATTCCATAAATTATGAGCTTAATTTGCTTTTGCTTGAAAATTCTTCGTAAATAGAAACTACGAGAGGGAGAGAAAACGCGCGAGAGGAGAAGCTTCAAGGGTGGTTGTTTACGTTTGATTGGGTTTGTTTTGCGTCCAGATCAAGTCCGTGGACGGTTTCGTGGCGTCTGTGAATGCGGCGCTGAGGAGGAACGAGGAAGCCGCTCAACTGGTCCGCGCAGCCTCGCGTTTGGAGTGCTACGACGTCGTGGAGACCAAAGGGCTCGACGAGGAAGTGGAGAAACTGATAAAGTTGTACAGCAATCTTGATATTACTACAGCGCCGATGCCCGGCTGTCCAAAGGACAGCCTGAGGACCCTTCTTCGAGAGGGAGACTTGAAGTTAAGAGACGCCGCTACTAGCAAGGTAGGTCAATAATAATAATGGAATGTTAGCTTATTTAGTCCAAAAATTGCTTTTATGTCGGAAACTATATACCGGAAATATATACGATAGGAAAAATATGCATGATTTTTTTATCTTTGAAACAAAAATAAAAATTTCGCTGCGATTTATCCATTTTGCAAAATGGTTTCTATAAATTTCGCTGATTCTCCATTTCTCTATTTGAAAAGCAAAGAATCGGTCAGATCATTTAAGTAAGAAAAACGGCTTGCCGAGAGCTAGATACGGTTCGTTAATTATCCCTTTTTAGATGGAGGTGCACGTACTATTATTGACCGACATGCTGCTGATCTGTAAACCTTCGACGAAGAAAACGTTGAAGATCATTAGGCAGCCGTACGTCGTCGATCGCATACGGATACACGAGGTCAAGGAGCCGTCTAGTCTGGGATTGGTTTATCTTAACGAGTACGGAACAGTCTCGGCCGCTTTAATCCTCAGCGCCGGTGACCCGAAACTAGCTAAGGTAACTCGACAAACAGCCACCGCGAATTACGTCGAGTTTCGCGGGGCGATTAATTCGCTATCCCGATTTAGGAGGTTCCGTACTTCGTATCTTCGCCAACGACTGGCTTTCACCGATCGCTTAATTAATGGTAAAAGCTTGGATAAAAGCTAAATCCGCTTTCCACCTCTCTCCCCAGATCATACACGCGATATCACAAAATCAATTAATTTGCAGCGGAGTGTAGTTTAATTAATAAAAGTGACATTATAATCGACCGATGTTGGTGAAATCTGATAGGCTTGATTTTTGATCTGATAGATTGATTCTTGAAAGCATAAAATCTTCGTGTTTTTTTCAAGCAAAAATTTATTTATTTAGCTAACGGCACCGCTTTTTCCAGTCGTGGATGGAATCCTTGAAACAGGCCCATCAACAATTCGCATCGATGAAAGTCCCGTCGCTCGGTGAACCCGTGATGAATCTGGCGCCTGTCAGCAGGCAACCAAGCACATTGGGTGACGGCGATTTCGAGGTAGAAGAATACGACAATACCTTTCCAAGAACTCCACGCGGCAGTAGCAGAGCCTCGCACGTCAGCAGTCTCGCTCATAGTCACAGGTACGTTCGTCAGCAAAGAAAAAAAATATATGCGTCAAAATCGAAGATAATTTTATTATTCACGCGACTATACATAATGAAACATCATCATTTCTAGTGGTAGCATGGAGATGGAAGCATCTCCAGGCAGCAGCAGCTTCCCCCCGAGCTACAATCCCAGTAGAAACGTTAGCGTGGAAACGAACGAGCAACCGCGAGCGTCGAGCTCGCTGTCATCAGAGGAAGGTGGCGAGTCGACCTCTGGGCATAACCACCGATCTATGCACGTGAGGTGAGAGTGAGATATCGATTTTACGACCTCACGGTGACCGATGAATCTTAACGTCTTTATTAAAACTAATTTGTAAATCTACCAGGCGCTCGCTGATGAGTAAATCACCAACGCCTAACACGCTGAGCGTCCAGGTACCATACTCGAGTCTAGGTCAGTCGCTGCCTAATCTGACGCTGGCCACCTCGCCGCAGACCTCCACCGTGTCGCCGACGCCACCGAACTCGTTGTTGATCGTACCGCAGATGACCAAGAGCAAGGACACCCTACTATCGCCTGGACACCGAGGTAGCAATTACCGACGCACATCTCTCCACCTATCTTTGTCACATTCTCCGAGGCCGAGGTCTTTCGATGAGGGCCTCTCACACGCGACGTAGTCACGCACGTAGATGCACGCAGATTAGATCATAAACGTGTAAATTACTATCACAAGTACGGATCGCCACAAGCGCTCCTCTATTTTAAAACCATTTTAATGCCGTTTGCTTATTAGAGATAGCGGAATTGTCCATCCAGGACGCAGGCACAAGAGAAACATCAAGGTTGTAACGTAGCGTTAGTGTAGATTTTATTTAACGTGAAAATATTGACACGATAGCTTGACAGACTATTCTAAATGCAAATATCATATATGCAAAAGCCTCAAACAAACATTAATAAAAACCTTTATTTTATTTTCTTGTGGAAAGAAACCATGAGAGGATTTCGCCCGGAATTTTGCCCAGTATTCATTTTATTCATTTTATCAACTCAAGCTTAATTCATCGTATTTATAGAATTCCCAAAATGTTTATAATGACAAATGTTTTTTAAATAAGAAAGACACAATATTTGTTAAATGGGTATTCACGTATTAATGATGTGCCATCAGGTATATCCTATCCACCGCCGTCACCGCCGCGAGGTGCTCTTAGACGGGGGTTCGCGTTACCCCAATCTCGAAATCCACCCTTGATGAAAACGAGACACGTAAACGCATCTCTGACGCAATCGGCGCAGGCAACGATGGGCAATTCCAACGCCGATGTTATCGAGGAGAGACGGAGAAGGCTAGATCCTTCGCAGAGAGTACCGTCGACGAGCAGTATCGTCGAGGAAAAGGTACGATTGTTTTTTATTAATTTTCCGCCAATTAATATAATCGAGATTTTAATACAATCTGTTTGTCAAATAAGTAACAATATAATCTGTTGTTTATCAATCTGAAATTAATGTAAGCTCACAAATCAGCGTTTTATTCTGTAAATAAAAAATAAAAAATACAAGAACGTGTGTTAATTAAATATAGATTAATGAATAATCAGAAATTTATGAAACTGTGATTATTTGTCAAGCAGATAGGGATTCGTCAAATATATATTGATTTCAAATTTTTTGTTGAGTTTGAATTTGATATATTTTTTTTAAAGTTCGTCAATAATTCATTGCTATTCTCGTAGAAATGACCTGCGAATTGACCTGAAAGAAGAACTTTTGGTATGGACCACACCGTCGACATGGATGTACGTGATATGTAATGCTCAACGAGATGCATTCTTCTCTCTATGTGTGAATGCTGCACACGCTATCACATAGAAAACTCGTGGAGCATTGATCTTCGAGGATTGATTGTCTCGCACTCTTTGGAATCCTACAACGCGAGTCAAACAATACATTACAATCGGTAAGACGTCATCGACACGTCGTACCATAAATTGATACCGATAAGATTGAAAATGTCCGTCGTTGTTTCTGCATTTTCAGATTGGGGCCATTCGAAATCAACGTGTGAAGTTTGTATCACGACCGTATCGCTACTTTTATCTCGTTATCTTCTTGTAACTCGTAGATGTCTCTTTGTAATAATTAAACTAAGTCCGAGTTGTCTACGATTAATATCGTAACGTAGCACTGGACAGCCGCGTGCGATATTAAACACAGATTTCGGTTTGGACTTTTAAGCGACGAACAGAAAGGCCTACTAGAGTAATTACATTAAGATTACATAGTGATTGTAGGGCCGCAGCTAGCGTATTAAGACGCCTTTGTAAAGGAGTTTATTTAGGCGCCTTACGATAGAACAAAAATGTTTGAAGAATTGAAGAATTGGAAATTGATTTCGAGCTCAGAAACTAGGAATGTGCAAGAGTACAAGTTGGCGTCTTTCCTCTCCTTTTCCCAATATCGGATACAATGCCTATCTAACGACCAAAAAAGAGAGAAGATCTTGAGTACAATTGCCTTGTCCAGGCTTAATGCGTTAATGAGGTATAAGAGCATAGAACATAGAAACGTTTAAAAATGATGGATTTTAAATCGCTGCGTTCATTCTAAAGACAAGTTTTTATTTAACGCTTGGATATGCAATTGACATCGCGCAATTCAAACGTCGAAATGGGAATGACGTTCTTGTTCGCTTAAAAACGTTTGTTTAAAAACTCAATTTAACTTTCCAGTTATTTCTGGGTTATGAGAAAGGATTCAATAACTATATTAACACGTTTGTCAACGTATGCAGTCAAAGATTGTAAGAAATATGCCGCAAAACGGGCCATTGGGCTCTTTCCTGGCACCGCTCTCTAAAATTGTTATTGAATAACAAAATAATAGCATAACTGGGGGGAAATTCACAGCCGGCATTGGTGTACAAAATTTCGGCAGTGGACTGAAAAAAGTAAGCAGTGGCCTATAATATTGACGGCATTGTCGTCAATGGTTGGGGAGTGGTAATAATGACATGTGGCAGTGGCAGTGCAGGAGGTATTGCATAGCATTGTTAAGGCAGTGTCCGAATTTTATCCGGCATTGACTCGGCAGTACGGCAGTGGACGCCCCCTACGTTTTTTTAGAAAATACATATATCCGAATACCTAATAGATAGCACTATGTTGACTACATCTTAAACAACGTTATATTTCCAAAATGTTTTTACGCTATGTTAAAGCAACAAAATAGCAACAAATTCTGGTATAAACGTTTATTCGATTTGAGCACTCTATATATTTTTTTTTTGCATGGGAGGCCAGCTTGACACAGATTCTAGCCCCACCACATACTAAAAAACTCATAGAGTGCTCAAATAAAAAAAAAAAACAATACACCAAAATTTGTTGCTTTTTTGTTGCTTTAAGATAGCGTAAACAAGTTTTTGAAATATAAGGTTCTGTAAACAATGCCACTAATAAATACTGCATCTTCGACCGTTATCTACGACTTTGATGGCTAAAAACTAAGTAAAAAAACTTGTTGCTCAGCTCTTTTTGGTCTTAAAATATTCTATGGACCGTGCCCTATCAAAATATGCAACTTACGATTTTGTTGCTCGCCCCTAACTGCAAATAAACAAATTATTTATCTCCTCGTCGATCGTTATCTACGACTTCGATGGCTAAAAACTAAGTAAAGGAATTTGTTGCTCGGGTCTTTTTGTTATTTAAATATTCTATGGAACGTGCCCTACCAGAATATGCAACTTACGATTTTGTTGCTCACCCCTAACTGCAAATAAACAAATTATTTATCTCCGCGTCGACCGTTATCTACAACTTCGATGGCTAAAAACTAAGTAAAAGAACTTGTTGCTTAGCTCTTTTTTGTCTTAAAATATTCTATGGACCGTGCCCTATCAGAATATGCAACTTACGATTTTGTTGCTCGCCCCTAACTGCAAATAAACAAATTATTTATTTCCGCGTCGGCCGTTATCTCGTTATCTACGACTGTGATGGCTAAAAACTAACAATAAGTAAAAGATTCTTTTACTTTATAGTTTTAAGACCAAAAAGAGCCGATCAACAGATTCCTTTACTTAGTTTTTAGCCATCAAAGTCGCAGATAACGGTCGACGCGGAGATAAATAATTTGTTTACTTGCAGTTAGGGGCGAGCAACAAAATCGTAAGTTGCATATTCTAATAGGGCACGGTCCATAGAATACTTTAAAACCAAAAAGAGCCAAGCAACAAATTCTTTTACTTAGTTTTTAGCCATCGAAGTTGTAGATAAAGGTCGAAGATGCAGTATTTATTAGTGGCATTGTTTATAGAACCTTATATTTTGAAAATTTGTTTACGCTATCTTAAAGCAACAAATTTTGGTGTATTGTTTTTTTAAATTTGAGCACTCTATATGTGTTTTTTAGTATGTGGTGGGGCTAGAATCTCTGTGTCAAGCTGACCCCTCACCATGCGAAAAAAAATATATTAAGTGCTCAAATCGAATAAATGTTTATACCAGAATTTGTTACTATTTTGTTGCTTTAAGATAGTGTAAAAATATTTTGGAAATATAATGTTGTTTAAGATGTAGTCAATATAGTGCTGTCTGTTAAGTATTCGGATATACTTACGTAGGGGAGACCGGGGCTAACTCGACACAATTTTTTTAAAGGCAATTTTCAACAATTAATTAAAATTTTCAAACAAATTTAATGGTACACATTTAAAGAGCGTTCCTTCAGGTACAAAATTGCTTAAGAAAATTTTGCTGTACGTCGCTTAGTTTTGCCCGAAAGCTCGATGAAAGAGTAGACCATTTTCGAGAGATCAAAAAAATTACTTTTCACTATCAAAAACGCTTATGTCGCGTTAAAAATTACACTATAACTCAGAATGTTACCAAATTCCGTTGATAATACTGGCACATAAAGACGCATTTACAATAGGAAAGGCAAGTTTCTACGATAGATTTAAATTGCCAAAAAGCCTAGTGTCAAGTTTGCCCCGGTGTCGAGTTAGCCCCGGTCTCCCCTACCGTATTTTCTAAAAAAACGTTATATTTCAAAAATGTTTTCACGCTATCTTGGAGCAACAAAAAAGCAACAAATTCTGGTGTATTTGTTTTTTGGATTTGAGCACTCTATATAGGTTTTTTATTATGACGACAAGCTGCCCCCCCCCCCATTTCGATCGCCGTTTCCTGCTAAACGGCTTGAGCAACAAAATCCGGACTAGAGCAACAGCACATAAATAGCACTAAATTTTTTAATAAGTGCGGATTTTTTTGCAATAGTGGGGGGGTTAACTTGATAGAGGTGGCATTGACGTATAATAATGGGCAGTACGCGACAGTGTTCATAATTGCATGGCATTGCCTTAATTTTATATTATTTATATATAGGATTGACGGCATTGTAGGTATTGACTAAGCATTGTCGGCAGTGTACGAAAATGTCGGCAGTGTTTTACAGCAATGCCAAAAATCGGCATTGGTGTACAAAATTTTGGGTTGTGAATTCCCCCCCAAGCATAACTTTATTCATTTAATGTCACATAGCATCTTAGAAGTTTTAATTATAGCAGTTTGTTTTAATCGAACAAAACAAAAATCGTTTAATTTTCTTTGACATATTTTCAATTGTTTTGGAATTTCTTTATTCTCTAACATTCCCCATTCTCCCCATTTGCACGACGTCCTTGTGCGATGCGTAATTGGCACATTGGCTTGCGCGGCGGCCTCGATGGATGTTAGAACTTAATAATTTAATAAGTGGAAAATAATAAACCTCTAGAGATTTTACCTAAAAGAAAGTTCGTAGACGTAACGAATGACTGGACGGAATTTATTCTTACGGGATGTAAAATAAACGTAAAGGAGAAGCTAAATCATGTGATAGGTATCGAGCATCTCTCGAAGAGATTGTATATCAATTATCAAGTGTGCGTCACTTAAGAACAACAGCAATCTACAAGAAACAATTTCAATATCTAAATGGAGTAACAGCTACTTCGTCTTTTTCACTTGGCTACTACCCCCTCTTTGCTTAAACTCGTTTTACCTTCCGTTCAGTTATCTCGTTTCTTCCATGAGAAAAAATTCAATAGTTGTGTCGAAGTGTATTTTTTTCCTTCCTATTGATCTGGTCGAAATGCCAGACCAGGACCCCTATTCTGTAACTTGTAACGACAGTGTCGGTATCGTTACGTTGTCGTTGCGCAGGTATACTATATGGAAAAAAAGCTGCGCAACGACGACATAACGATACCGACACTGTCGTTAGAGTTACAGAATAGGGGTCCAGATTGTACATGGCCAAAAGACAAAGGTAGGTCCGATCTGGCCCGAAGAAAGAAGATTGGATACGATAAAGATAAATGGTCGACATGTATTGACCACAATGGATCACAAAACATAAAGTAACATACACAGAGAAAAATAATCATTCTACATAAGAAAACACTTACTTCTTTTATTTTATTTCTTTTAAGGAGGTTCTGTGGCTACAAAAAAATGCAGCCTGCAGTTTCATGAAATTTTATTAAATTCACATAATTCTATTTTGCATTCCAGAACAACATATTAAAATTTCATGAAACTGGCTGCATTTTTAACATAGGTTTTTATGGGAAATGACATATTGCATACCTTCAGAATGAAATAAGTGCAAGAAAAAATGCAAATGATAAGGAAAAAAAAATATGCACATGTAACTTAATAATTTACAAATAAATGAGCGAAATAAAGGGGAAGGTTACCGCACATTTCTACCGCACAAATTTAGAAAAATTAATTATTAAAGCGTAAATTGCTTGATTTTTCGTCTGCTAGACTGCCACGGTAGTGAACGACGTGAACAGCAGCACGCACTATACACGCGGCGACCAATCAGAGCAATCCCCTTCTCTCCCACTACTTCAAACGCTAGTGCGCTGTTGCCAGAACCCCCGCGTCCCACTACTCCCCCCGATGAAGCCATCGAACCTCCTTAATGCCCGGTCTACAATGGATGTTGTAGGTCGTAAGTCGTAAGAATTGGCCAATCACAGTTAATTATTCTTCGACCGCGAGAAGAATAATACTGTGGTTGGTCAATTCTTACGACTCACGACTTACAACACCCACTGTAGACCAGCCCTTAGTAAGTTTTCTTACAACAAAGAATATTTTCTTACTAATAGTTTTCAACTATCTTGACACAAGTCTTTGAAAACTAGAATATTGTTTAACTTTAAAACATTGGTAGTTTTTATTTACTAAAAAATTTTTGATAGAAAAGTCGAAGATTCCGCGCACGGTCCAATCCCTCAATGATCCCTCGTAGCTATACATATAATTCACGTAGCTATGCAAATTTTCATTGATGCCGACGTGCGCGCGGTGGCGGTGCCGAGCGCGTGGCGCAGGCGGGGGAGAGATTTTTTACGTCACCGTGTGGCGAAAAAGCAGTGAGAGACGAGAGCACGTGAGAAGGAGAGGGACGGACGGACGGGACGGAGGGAGAGACCGAGAGGACCGCGGTTCGCCGGTTATTGATTCCGCCGATCCACCCGTACCCTGACCACGGCACACATGTTCCCGATCGTCCCGACGTTCCTGTGCACGCTCCGGGCAAGCGGAGCAATCTCACGCGCCGAGTTGCACGCGATGGCTTGAGACCCGGACACGGCGCTCGCCGTCTCCCGGTTGCGCGCGCGAACGTCGTCGTCGTCGGGGAACTCGGGACACGGGGCTCGGGGCTCGGGGGCCATTCATTCACCGGCGTGGCCGTTCTCGTTCCCGTCTTTCCCGTGCGCGCGGGTCGCGGCGGGTTATGCCCGACGTCGTAGGTTAAGGCCCGTGGGCAAGATCCGTCCGTCCCCACCTCCACCTCTCCCCGTCCCTGCCGTTGAATGAGACGCGTCCGCGTCCGCTGCCGCACGAGGATGGACAACGTGGAGTGCCTAACCCTGGATTTCGGCCCGTTCGAGACGGTGCACCGATGGCAGCGCATGCCGGAGTGCGACGAGTTCGTCGGCGCCAGGTAAGCGATGTCCATCAGCACCGTCGCTTTTCGAACGAATCCCACCGTTCGCCGTTTCCTAGAGACTCCAAGTACCGTCGGTTCAATTTGATGGAATATCTCGATGCGGTTTATCCTTACGTTCATTTGTCAGCTCCATTCGGATAACTTGTTCGATGTTTCATCGATAGACTTGAGGATGTGACTGTCAACGGTGCGGCCCGATTGATCTCCCCCTTTGTCCTCTGTCTCACAGGCGCAGCAAACACACGATCGTGGCGTACAAGGATGCTATTTACGTTTTCGGTGGCGACAATGGTAAGAGCATGCTGAACGATCTGCTGCGCTTCGACGTAAAGGAGAAGTCCTGGGGAAGAGCGTTTGCAACTGGCACTCCGCCCGCGCCGCGTTACCACCACTCCGCGGTGGTTCACGGCGCGTCGATGTTCGTGTTCGGCGGTTACACCGGAGATATACACTCCAACTCCAATCTCAGTAATAAGAATGATCTGTTTGAGTATCGCTTCTTGTCTGCTCAGTGGATAGAGTGGAAATTTATCGGAGTGCAAGTATTACTTGTGTCACAAGATTTTTTTGCTTCCCGCCACAAGACTTTTTATTGAATTTATCCAATTGTAATATACTTATGTAGGACTCCGGTGCCAAGATCTGCCCATGGTGCTGCTGTATATGATAATAAATTATGGATATTTGCGGGCTACGATGGCAACGCCAGGTTGAATGATATGTGGACAATATCATTAGCGGTAAGATATTCGTTTCATACACTTTATAATTTTTTAAAAAATTTATACAGTAAATATGTGATATCAAGTTTGCATAAATCGTAACTTTATCTTAATTTAATTTGTTCGACGTTTGTCATTAGGCTAACGATTTCAAAGCGTGGGAGAAGGTGACTCAGGTTGGCGAATGTCCACCGACGTGTTGTAATTTTCCCGTGACGGTGGCGCGAGAATCTATGTTCGTTTTCAGCGGTCAGAGCGGGGCCAAGACAACCAACAGTCTCTTCGAGTTTCACTTTAAGGAGAGACGGTAAATTTCGTTGTAACGCGTGTAGATTGCGATGTACATTACGCGTGCCTAACGTTCTGTTTATTGTAAATTAATTTTACATCACACGTGCGTGGAAAGTGGCACATTACGCGCGTGTCCACGCACTTGTAATATAAAAAAGGGTGTGTAACACGTGTTAAGTTGAAAATTGGACGTGCGGGTGATCGCACTCGCCTCCGGCTCGTGCGTCCACTCTGCACATCCAATTTCCAACTTACAGCACTTGTTACATAAATAACTATTTCTTAGGTGGACGCGCATATCGACGGAACACATATTGCGTGGCGCACCGCCGCCGCCCGCACGACGATACGGTCACACGATGGTCAGTTTTGATCGTCATCTTTACGTCTTCGGCGGCGCGGCTGACTCTGCTCTGTCCAATGATCTTCACTGTTACGATCTCGATACGCAAACGTGGAATGTTATCTTACCGTCCACAGACAGTCAGGTAAACGGACTTGCAAAGATGAATTCAAGCTAGCAAAGACGATCAACGAATAATAAACAAGTACCCTTTTTTTACGAATCTTTAATAAATAGAAAAGTATTTACGATGTGAATTTGCACTTATTCGTACTTGCATATTCTTCAAAACAAATTTATTTGTTTGTAATTCTTTGCTTGATCTGGATCTACCTTAATGTATCTGCAAACGTTTTCTTTCGCAATGGCACACGTACGTTACGAAAGAATGTTAACAAGTAGTTTTTATTTTTATAACATATAATGCACACAGGTACCGCCCGGTCGACTTTTTCACGCTTCCGCCATAATCGGAGATGCGATGTTCATTTTTGGGGGCACCGTGGACAACAATATACGCTCTGCCGAGATGTACCGCTTTCAGTTCTCGTCGTACCCCAAATGTACATTACACGATGATTTCGGAAACCTGTTGCATTATGCTAACTTCTGCGATGTAGAATTCATAGTGGGCGAGCTGGAGACCAAGATACCGGCACATGTAGCCATGGTGGCGGCGCGCTCGCAATTTCTCCGTGCGCGCATTCGGCAGGCGCGCGAAAAACGGGACAAGTATATAGAACAACAATTCGTGTCCAGTAATGAAATGCCGCCATTGGAGGTAGGCGATTTAGCCCATTAAGAATCAAAATTATGTGCGTGATCCAGATTTACTTAAGTTTATAAAAGACAAAGAAAATATAACTGAAGAAGTGTATTTACTACAAAAACTTATTCTTCGGTGGTTTCATAAGTTTGGCTATCATGTTGCAGGTGATATTAAAAGATGCCGTCCCGGAAGCTTTCAAAATGGTGCTAAACTACATTTATACCGATCGTATCGATCCTACAAAGAGACCAGACGACAAGATCGAGGATCCCCCGAGCAATCGGATTGTACTTCTTATGATGGACGTGTATCGTCTCGCCGTGCAGTTTAATATGGAACGCTTAGAACAGCTGTGCGTCAACTACCTGGAGGCAACCATAAGCCACGCGAACGTTTTGGAGGCGTTGCGCAACGCCGTGCACTTGAAGCTGTACTTCATCAAGGAATTTTGTCTCAGCTTCGTCGTGAAGGAGAACAATTACAATGAAATCGTGATGAGCCAGGAGTTCGAGACTCTGGATCAGCCGTTGATGGTGGAGATTATTAGAGGACGACAGATGCCGCAAACCAGAACATTCACGAAGTACGAGTATGAATCTGTCACCGGTAGGTATCACACCGATCACGCGAGATATGTGTGTACCATGGAGTAGTCTCTTATTTCACGGAGTTTGTTCGCTAGGAACCAGCCTAGAGCAAGACATGGAAGCGTTCTTAAAGAGCGTTGGTCGGGAATTTTGCGACATCACGTTGCGACTGAACGGTGTGCCGATACCGGCGCACAAGGCCATCCTCGCAGCGCGATGCACCTATTTCGAAGCAATGTTTCGATCTTTTATGCCTGAGAATAATACGGTGAACGTAAGTTCGTGTAATTTATTTTAAAAAGACACAACGTCGACGAATCTCTTGTTAGACGAGGGAAGGCGAAATTTTAACGCAATAATCTTACGCGTATAGTACAAATTGTAAAGTAGCGAATGTAATTTTCATGTAGATACAAATTGGCGAGATGATACCATCGTCGGAATCATTCCAATCTTTGCTGAGATATATTTATTTCGCGGATGTCTCGATGCCTCCCGAGGACTCTCTATATCTGTTCACCGCGCCGGTGTTTTACGGTTTCGCGAACAACCGGCTCCAGGCGTTTTGCAAACAGAATCTCGAGATGAACGTCACTTTCGAGAATGTTATACAGATCTTAGAGGCAGCCGATAGAATACAAGCTATCGATATGAAGAAGTACGCTTTGAATCTGATAGTTCATCACTTTAGCAAGGTAAAGAAACGTTTAGGTATACGTTCGACGTTTAATAATGTTAATATTTATACGGGTGCGTACGAAGTATCACTTTTATTTAGGTCGCCAGACTTCCAAAATTAAGACAATTAAGCCGCGAGCTCTTGCTGGATATTCTCGACGCTCTGGCTGACGAACGCAGCGAGGCTAGAATGTGTCAAGATATGACTAATGATTGCTGACGGATTTCCACCTCAGATCGTCGTCCGTGCAGCTGGGATTTACCATCGCCGTGCAGTTTCCAGGTGAGTACGATTATCAAAAAAAAAAAATTGCTGTTTTCAGCACTGTCACATTTTATGAATCGCGAACGTTTATGCAGCTCTGAGAGAGAAAGGCGCTAAAAAATATCTGCGATGATATCCTGGAGTTTTCTTCTTGGGTCTAGGAACTGTGCCGAGTGAATTTCATCCTCATAGGACGTACGATTCTGTTTGTTGGTAATTGTTATCTCGATCACGCGGCTAAATCTTGCCTGACATCGGACATACAGACTCTGCTACCGCTGTCGATGGCCACGTCGTCCGCCTCGATTCAGGATGAATCGTCGTCGTGCAGCACTGATCACCCGGTCGTGTCGTCTCGTTGTAGTGACGACAGGAGGCAACACCAATGGTCTACTATTACCCGTCGTTGTTCCGTCAGCTGCAACATGTTGAAACGCACCGTCGTCGCTCTTTCGGATCTCGGGCTTAGAAAGCTGTTCCCGTAATCGAAATTGTGTTAACATTATGAAATGGTGATGATTTTCGTCGAGCTGTGTCGTAGAAATGATGTAAAACTGCGCGAAAATCGATGTATATTAGTGTAGTTATTGTGTCTGATCGTATAACAACATTAGACATGATATTTACACAGGATGCGTGCCAAGGTATCATTTTCCATAGATAGATACTTGGATGTCACTTCCGCGATAATGATATACTTTATTACGTAATATTCTAATTAGCGAATATTATACTGATTTTGTTATTTATTTATACAGAATGTTAGGATTTGCGTATAACGACAGAAATGATATTTCGGCAGACAACTAAGCAACGAGAACGCATGCGATTTTTTATTTCGAGCTATTTTTTTTAAGTATAAGGGCCTAAACTTTGGCCGATATTTTGTGACTGCAGAATCTTTAATCTCTGTGCTTTTTGTTGCTTCTGCTTTTATACCCGAGTTTTGTGATATATTATAGCATTTGGCTACAACACCGATAAGATGCCATCGAGGACCCTATTGACAAACTTATTGAATTTTCATGGGCTATTAATCGATTTCAATCGGCCTGTCTTCAACTTGAAGGAAATTTCCGTTGGTATTATTAATTGCTCGATCGTTCGATATAAACACGTGTAACGCTCAGTTCATAAGGCACTATTAATTTTACAACTTACAGTTATTCCGATATTTTACGATACACAGCGAATTTTTTAAGTGACATAAATTCTCGTAACAGGACAGTCTTCGTCTCATAGTGGTGATCATGATAAGCCTATATGTTTCCATGTTTTTATTATACATGTTGAGGGGTCTGTAAAATGCCTATTTGTCCTAAAGGAAACGTTGTTACGACATATTTACGTGGATTCGCGATTGTCGTTCCGTACCCCTTAACCGTTGATCTTTTTGTAATTATATATATGAGACAAAAATATTTTTATGGGCTTAAGCAATATATATAAATAGTAATATATACAAACAATTTTACGCAGATGGAATATTGGAATGATTGATAAAAATGAATATTGTGCGGATGTATTGTTGAGGATAAACATATTTTCCAGATGTTTCAGAGTTGTTGATATAAAAAATATCTATAACTAATGTGAGGGTATAGAAAATTAAATCTAGACTATTAATGTGAGTCAAATTAAATTACATATATATATATATATATATGCCAAATATATATATGTATAAATATATATATGTCAAATACATATATATATATATATATATATATATATATATATATATATATATATATATATGCCAAAACGCGAGCGGTTGTTCCAGCATTTTTCCCGGCTGATTTACCACCATCGCGTTGGAGCCGAATGGCATCGCAATTCCCACCCGAATATAGTCCTTAAATAAGTTATAACGTGAATTAAAATCAAAGAAACAAAGATAAAAATATTTTTTTTTTATATTTTTATCTTTGATTTTAATTCGCGTTAAAATGAAAAAAATCACTCACCGGCCGATGCGCAACAGCGGAGTTATAAGTTGTGACCCTGCGTTGATCTGTAACAGAAATATTTTTACATTAAAGCATTGCAGTGCCCAAGATAATCGATACTTGTATTGTACGAGTAATAAATTAATGATTCGAGTAAAATGTAAGGGCGAATCACGTCGCGCTTGAGAAAGTGGCAGAATCTGCCACAGGACAGCAAAATAATAAACGAATAACAATCAAGTACTCACCCCACGGTTGCTCCGCCGTCACCTGATGCCTCCCAGACCTTCTCCTCCTCTCCGTGGTCCTCCTCCGGTGTCGCATCTCTGTCGGCGCACTCACTCAAGTCACTCACGACGCGGCGACGTTCACGAGCGAAAATCCAGCTGACAACTACAGTACTTGCTGCACCGATACCAGCATCTCCACTGCAAAAAAACAATAATTATAAAACACTGAACTCTCTTATAGAACTGTCGAAAATAATTGTTAGAACCGCGGAAAACGGAAAGAATCGCGTGTCATTAGCGCGACACTTCTCGCGAAACGTCGCGCTGGGCGCGGATAAAAATTGTTCAAAACTTGTTAATTGATGGGATCGCATTCGCGAGCGCAATTACTCGCGTCGAACAAATATGAAGCGTTGCGTACTTAGGTACTTACAGGCGAGGCGAGGCACGATACTCCGATGCCTCCGATGTGTGCCTCGATGTAAAATTGTCTCGCGCGCGAACGCCGGCCTCGATCGCGGGTCGATATTCCAGGGATTCCACCGTCGTGCTCGTTACCACATCACACACATCACGCTCGTTCGCGACCGAATACGATTACGTCGATTACGATCGAAGCTGATCGAAGGATCCACGCCGCGTCGCGACGTCGCGTCGCAGCCGTACCGCGTACCGCGCGGTATCCTGATCTGATGGAAACTGTCACTACTGTCAGTAGTGTCAGTCGGTCTTGGTGTCCCCCAGCCCCCACCCCTTACATTCCTTCGCGCGACGCGCAGCCGGGCGCGCGCCGAACTCTCTCATCGATCGATATCGTGCTACCGCCCGCACCGCGCGCTGCCCGTCATGCCATCCGTGTTGCGTGCGTACCGTCGCGGCGTCGATCGCACCCGTGTGAAGTTAGCCACCCAACTTTTAAAAAAATTAATTTTTTTTAGCTCATTTGATTGCTCATCGTTAGCACATGTATGCACATTTTGAATTTTCGTTTGCACACTTCTAGTAAAAAAGTTATTAACAAAACAGTTTTGGGGGGGCCAACTTCACATTAGCCCTCCAACTATACGAGCAAATTAGATCCAAATAGTCTTAATCGATAGATTTTCGTTTGCACACCCTTGGTTAAAAGTTATTAACCCTATTCACTCCAACGTTTTTTTCACCCCAATAATCATCCAACCATGCACTTTCGAGTCCCACGTGTTTTTTATAATGTTAATAGCTTTGAAAAATTCCCCCAAAATTATTATAATATCTTTGTACCTTCGACTAAAAATCAATGTAAAGAACATTTGAAAATCATTTATTTAAATATTTTTTTATAACAATTATATGTTAACAAAGATACGTTACGACTCGTTTTACTTAAAAAATCATAACTCACGAACAAATTGACGAAGCTTAATGAACCAAAACGCAAATTAAAGCTAAAAGTAGTGCAAATGAGAAAAAAAATATGAGATAATTATTAATTAAATAGGAATACTTAATTTCGTCGCCGCAAATTTGGTAATTTTTAAATGGTACAGAAGGACTTTAAGGACTTAAAGAATGCTAGAAAAAGAATTTCTGAATAAGAAAAGGCGAATTTGAAGTGTGACAGATATTTTTTATGGAAAAAAATTAATTTTTTTTATATAATCGTAGCTCCTCCCCACCTCTTCCACCTGCCTCTGAGCCATAATAGACCTCTGTGGAATGTTAAATTTCTTTTTTAACGATAAAAATATTTTAAATACGGTTAAATTATACACAAAAATTCATTTTTATCGAAAAAAATGCTCATTTACCTTCCACACAACACTGACGTAATCCTCCAACCATGCACTGTCATGTCCCACCGAGATTTTGATTGTTCCCCGTTTCGAGAGTAAATGAGCTAGGACTTTGAAATTTTTACCTGAGGTTCCCTGCTACAATAACTTTTTTCCGGCGAGGAGGGGATTCTCCCACGATCATTTGTTTTCCGGAACAAACGACTGTTAGAAATTCGTGGGACACGAAAGGCATGGTTGGAATTTAAAAATTGTTGAATTATTTCAAGCGAAACGAGAATATGATTTATTTGATATTAATATCCCATATATTTAGGTAAAAGTTGTTTCTACACAAATGAGACATAATTTAAATCTCCTATATTCATATTTTAATTTTTTATATTTAGATTTAATTTATGCTCACGCATCTTTCTTCTTTTAAAAATAGTCTATCACGAATAAAATTATCGGTTGATGACCGAAGAAGATTAATCATGAACTTATATTCATAGCCGCGAAGTTGTGCGCGTTGGATTGATTAATTCGTAATGCATTGTTCGATAAAACAATCGCAAAAAAAAATTCAAATAAGAAATAAATAATAAATAAATAAAAATAATAGGTATAATAATTACTGTGGATAAATAAAAATTATAGATCTTCTAGATATAAGAGAGTTTCCGATTTTTTCTCGGCAAAAACAAAATCAGGATTGTTGTCCTGCACCAGGAGGAAGTGCTTTCTCAGCTCGTCAATGTCCTAAATCTCCTCGCTCATCTGGTCCCTCGACAGACGCAGATGCTGCCGCGCTTGCCAGCCTTATCGTATCGTTCTGGGACATTTCCTGGCATATCGCTTCCTCCTTCGAATTCCTGAGAACCTTGCGCAATCTGCAAGTGCAACCGTAAAGGCCATTGCACGTAACAAAGTTTTAGTCATAATCCTAAGGCCGTAAGAAAATAAACCAATCACACTTGACTATTCTTCAAGCGCAAGGAGAATAATCGACTGTGATTGGTCTATTTTCTTACAGCTTTACGATTATGACTAAAACTTTGTTACGTGCAATGGCCTTAAGTGAAATTGCGTCGGTCCAGTGCAATTTGTGGAAAATGCTGCCGTTATTGTTTTCCAGGTCTGCGCCGTCAACGCCGTTCTCCGGACCGAGGACCACGCTGAGCGATGGCGAGCAGCGCGAATCGTTGCTCAACGACGACGGCGGACCATCGATAGCAGCGTCGACGGCAACCTCGGCACCGTCGGCCAGCAGCAGACTGCATGCAGCGGGGAGAACCGTTAAATTGAAGGAGCGGCCGTGCATCGTAACAAGGGTGTCTTAGAGCGCAAACTATCGGCCGG